GTTGTAATAGAAAGGATACGAATCAGCTGCGACAGTCATCAGGAAGGGATTCCGTTGACATAGAACCGTCGTGCTGCTCATGTTCTGCTACTCCAATGTCGTGGTTATGTCCATCGGGGAACGAGGCGCCTGGGCACAGTCAGCACCCAAAGCTCATTCATAAGTGACGCATTGTGACAGTACCTAGCTTCGGGTGTTTCAAATACCCAGGTTTCATAGGGTTGAATGATCTTTCCTTAGCCCAATTCTGGATGGCATCAAAATTGACACACGAATGGGGCACATCGAAGTCTGCGATAGGAATTGCAGTATCTTCCTTCCAAAACATGGTGATTAGAGAAACATCGCCTCGGCACATTGCGGACTGACGGAGAATCTCAATGCAGTGTCCTGACAATACGTCAGTCCCTCTTCGGTATGTTGTGGTTCGCGAGCCAGTAATGACAGGGTAGTTACATACTTGTGTGCCAGTGGTTCAGCATTTCTTGGTGAGAGGTTAGATTCGGAAAGTAGTGGTCCTTGTAGATGTACTGGCGAATACGTTTCTAATGTAACCGTCAGTCGTGCCCACATATTGGTTAGAATGCCGGTATTTACGAGGCAGTGAAGCTCATGGACAACTCCAAGTGTCCCCCAGTACGTGTCGTCTTCACCAGGAAGAGGAATCGAGGTCTTGTTGATCCGTCGTAGATCTTCGCCTGACACTCGCACATGGGCATCTGCGTATTTTAGCCAAAGGGTTGCCGAGTGGCACGTCCACGAACTGTGGAAACAGGAAATTACTTACGCTCTACTAGATCCGACCATGCTTGATCAGATTCAGGGGATGGCTCTCCTGTAAATGGGTTCTTAAGACAAAGACTTGGATCATATACCACCGGCTCGTACTCAATCACAGAGTTCGCTGGCGCTGTTTGTTGTTCGTGGAATTAGAAGGACATGCCAGGATGGTGGTTGGGAAAGATTGTTCTTCCGATGGTGAGAGCAACGTAAAACAACGATTGCACTTACAATGCACAATGCTTTTTCGAATATCTTTGCAACTTCCGACATGGATGACAGCTGCCAGAAATACACCGGTGTAGATTATGAACAGAACTAGATGGATAAACAAAGGCTGGAATCCGAAACTTCGATCGTGTCTTGCGAGGGTGCGAGGTAACTTTGCTTCATGCTCTTCCAAGAGTTCGTCTTCTGACCCATCGTCAGACGGAACAGCATTGAACGTCGAGTTTGAGCGAAATCGTGAGACGACCTGCTTCCACCACGGAGAATCTCTCGGAAGTTGGAAGGACATGATCAGTTGCGCTGGATACTAAGACCTGGATACCGAATTGCTTGGGGAATAGACTTTACGTAGGCGTCCAGCGACAGTGGAAAAGATGCTTGGTATAAGGAAGGCCAAAATTCTGAGTCCCGCTGAATATGATAGCAAAGAAACGAAAAGAATAGCAAAATGCTGCTATGCTTATCATTGGCCCCTGTTACTCAAGGACCGCCGCTTGCCGGGTAAAACTGGGCGCATACGCATATGCAAGACGCCATACCGCCAAGCCAAATAAACGGGGTATCAAACTCACGTTGGGCTGTTGGTGAGTGAAATATCTCCTCCTTTCATGAGAGGTTGCATCCTGCACCCTCTACGTGGACTTGAAAGAGGCACAGTCTGGCCAGAAGGGCCTGCATTTGTTTGGGGCAAGAGCACCTTCCCAACGGAGGAATCGCACGCCTGCGGAGTTCCAAGCCATTCACTTCTCGTCTTCCAACATACCAGTCCTGATTGCGTGTTCATGCGACTTGTTCTGCAAGCTGATACGTGCATACGGCACAGTCCTCGTCAAATCCGCCATCAAATTGAAAGCGGCTACCAGTAGCTTCCACTCTGGCTCGTCGACACATCCGACTTGCGGCCGCAGAGGCAAGCACACCAGCTTTGACTCAGATCGCAATGCTTCTTGAGTTCCACTAGGTCACCAAGACTGACAAAAGTTCCATCGGTGTGCTGTAAGACTTGGACCCATTTTCGATGAGACGATGGCGATGACCAGGGGAAGTTTAGAAACACGCCCTTGGCCAAATAACTCACCATAGGTTTGTATTTACTACATACTCTATCAGCCGTCGACGATACCATGGAAACAGGAAGGGTGAATGAACGACTTGTGAGAAAAAGTAGTCGAAAAGCCGGAAGACCGAGAGGTTCGCGTCAGCGAAGAATTGAGCGGCAGGAGCTGAGGAGTACAAGTACAGCTGGAACGAGCTTCCTTGACCTGCTAGACTCTTTCATATCCTCACAGCCACTCTCAGTCTACTTACTCCGTTCTTCTCCGTCCCAAAACCTTTTCATTACATCTTATCATCTTTGGATTCGAGTACTCATTGTGCAAAATGCAATTCAAGACCCAATTCGCGATCCTCGCGGCTCTGGCACCTGTTCTGCAAGCCCTGCCTGTTGATAATGGCGGTGCAGGTAAGTTAAAATGATAAGCCATTCTGTAAACGCGCTAAACTAATTTTTGCAAACAATACAGCTGTGGCCCGAGAGGTCAACGACAAGCGTGCGCCGGATGACGCCGATGCCGCTTATGGCATCTTCTACGCCAACGGAGCTGGTATCAAGGCTAAGCGTGATGATGCCGATGCTGCGTATGGTATCTTCTACGCCAACGGTGCAGGCACCAAAACCAAGCGGGACGATGCCGACGCAGCCTACGGAATCTTCTACGCCAATAGTGCGGGAACCAAAGCCCGACGTGACGATGCTGACGCCGCCTACGGCATTTTTTACGCCAATAGCGGTGCCTCGAAGGCTAAGCGTGATGACGCTGACGCAGCCTATGGCATTTTCTATGCCAACAGCGGCGCGTCGAAGGTTAAGCGTGATGATGCTGACGCTGCGTACGGTATCTTTTATGCCAATGGAGCGAACTCCAAAGTCGAGCGCGAAGAGACCAACGTCAGCGCGTGAGTTGGTCTGAAACGTGCCTCTGCACTCACGTCAACCTTTCTGGTCTTGAGACATGCCACCAAGCTTCCGGTTTGCAATGGCAAGAAAGTCTTTGAATGATCTATGCGAGAACAATGGTATTGGATAGTGGATTAGTCATGACAAGAACGATGTTTCCGACAGACATGTTGACTAGACACAATTTCCATTCATATGGTTGAGACTTGGCAATCCCCCAATCCATGTAGTGAACGGAACAAGTTAAGAGTGATTCTCGCGCCAGTGACTTCATCCATCTATTATTCCGCAAAAGCCGAGACTGAAGGTGTCTTGCAAACTACTATACACTTCACGGATCATAGAACTTGGCCAAAAAGCACCTCAGCCCAGCTTCTCCTGGTCTTCCTAACCCACATGGAATCCGCTCACATCCTATAAGATCCGTCGACCTGGATTGATGAGAAATTACCAGTGTAGTCAGATAACAGTTCTTTCGAGAAATATGCTGCAGCCCACAAGGGCATTTTCTGAGAAGGACGCCAGGATCCCGGAGTCCTAGATGCTTTACAAAAGATCTGGGGTACCGAAGAGCTTCTTGTTTTATTCGGTTCTTCAACATTACTTTCCCCAGCCGGAAAGACAAGCCTTCTCGTGCTCCCTGGCCCCGTGTCAACTAAATTCCCCCGCCCCCCAAGTGTGGCAGGGGTATGTGCATGGCATTATCAGTCTCATTTCCGCTGGCCAGGAGGACGGGTCCTCTATTGTTGTTCCTAAGTTGCAAAAGGCTCTGGATGGGGTCTTCGATACGCAGACCGACCCAAAATCATGGAAGAAGGCAGACGTGCTTCCATTCACGAAGAAATATCACTCTGTGACTTCTCGGGTATTTCCCCTCTTACAGCAGCCAGAAAGGTTTGCCCGCAAGCAAAAAACATGCCACACAGAAGTATAAATGAAAAGTCAGAAGACCAAACAAAAACCAGGCAGCCTTCAAAATAATCGAAATTTCTATCGGGCTAATAGCGAAAATTGTGGTTGAGCAGATTTAGAGAAAGCCGGGAGCATTCGCCGATGCTACATGTAAGTACTGTAGTCCCATCGCAATCGAAGAGATACTCTTGACATCAGTAATGTTGTGCAAATTACGTACAGAGTTAGTGTCTCCAAAGTCTCTTTATTTGTGTACAAAGGTTGTCAAAGATGGACGCTTCTCTTCAACTTTGATCAAGCCACATAAACTTGTCATTTATTTTGAGCTTCATTTCTTGAACCAGCTCATATCATTTTCATATGTGCCGCATCAACGATTTTAAACTCCAGCCTCGCTGATAGTGGCCGTGGCGTGCCAGTAATATTAAAAAACGTCCGCCGCACGCCACAACGTTCTCACTTCCATACCAGAACCTTGGAGGCCCATGGAGGGACATGTCCATATCTGGCGCTCACGATTAAAATGTATTCTCGGATTTGCTATTCCTTCCCCCCAAATTCCTCATCAGTTCTAGCTTCCACCTGTGTTTCTTCTTTTCCCCCTCTGAGTGTCATGCGTATCATTCATCTGCTAGTCTGCCTCGTGGCTTTAGGGCTAGCCGATGCCCGCAAATGCAACGGCCACAAACATCTCTGCAATAGGAAATACTCAAACGTCACTTTCGTCGGTTCGCACAACGCCAACTTCATTGGCGATAGAATAACTCACAATCAGAATGTCCCTGTCACTCGACAGCTTGACATAGGCGTCCGATTTCTAACTATTCAAACACACTGGAAGGACGGCGAGATCAGAATGTGCCACTCCAAGTGTTGGCTTCTTGACGTGGGAAAGTTGGAGGACTTCTTGTTAGAGGTCAGCCGCTGGATGAAGAAACACCCAAGCGACGTGGTGACCTTACTGTTGACGAATCCGACTTCCATCCGCGGGAGAGACTTTGCCGCAGCCTTTCGGAAAGTCGGAATGGATAAAATTGCTTTCACGCCAAACAAGAAACTTACCGTCAATTCGTGGCCCACGCTCGGCCAGCTAATTGATAATAAAAACAGACTTGTTGTCTTCATGGGTAGGTACAAATCATCAAGATCCCACATAACATTGGGGTATTTGTTTTTAAAGTGATAAACATTCTTACTTTAGCAGATTACCCCGAAAAGCCTAGGCGCGAGAAGTGGATTATGGACTGGTTCAGCTACTCCTGGGAGACACCATATGGCGAACTGGACAGCAACTTCCCTCACTGCAAGCGCGACCGGCCACAACGGGACATCGATGAATCAAAGTATATGTACCTGATCAACCATGTCTGGAACATAGCCATGGGTGCGAGGTTTGAGGGAGAGACTGTCAAGATTCCCACCAGACTCGCGGCAAATATTACCAACTCGATGGACTCAATCAGTCGACAAGTCAAGCTTTGCAAGGCGAAGTGGGGAAAGATACCCAACGTCATTCTGGTAAGTTAAGCTTCACCGGCCGTTCATTAAATCGTCTTCGTCACGGAAACTTGCGTCGACTCTGAGAGTGCTGATTTTCAATTGCAAAGCTCGACTTCATTGATGATGGGGACGCCATCAAGGCGCAAGATCATTTCAACTCTTGATTGGGCCGTCACCATGTGTTGAATATCTTTCTATTTCGATAGCAGTTCAATGTCGTTCATCAGGCAACATCCTTGGATCGTCTTAATATCCCGGTGATGCTCGCCAAGTTACACCCTCCTCGGCTGAGCATTTGACTCGCTAATTGCCCTACCAACATGTTGGCTTGACGCAGAATCCATCCACATCAACCCGCCTCACAATGTGAACGACCCCAATATAAAATAGCAACTCTAGATGTGCCGTTCCAACTGACCTCCAGCTTCTCACGATCAATTCTTGCGCATGGGCGATGAACCATGTCGCGAATGATGCGCAAATAACAGTAAACCACACTTTCCAAACTCGCGAGAAGTACCAGCAAGGTCCCATGTATATCTCGATAGTTACCCATGCTGCTATTCCCAGTCCCCAGACCACGGCTTTCCCAACGGTCAGGCGCCATCTGTTCATTTGATGTAAACTCATTCCCGTTCGTGCGTGAATTACTATAAGCCCGGTCCAGCTTTCCAGTATGTCTTTGATGTCATCGCGAGTATGAGGCGGCCAGAAGCGGTGGATATTGTATTGTGGGTCGCAGTAACCGTCAGGGGAGATGATGGCCATCCCAACGGATAAGGCAGTTGGATAAATGGCGAAGGCGATAAGAGCCAGCCATTTTGTGACAGCTTCATCATTATGTATTTTTCTGGCAAGAGAGTCCTGCGGTGAAAGATGTACAACAGACCGGAGGCCTTCGGCAACGAGATGCTGCCCTCCCCACGCGCTGAGGCAGAACCTGGAGATGATGGTAATGACTCCCCTTGACGTTGAAAACCACGGCCGCCACACTTTGAAGGCTCTCATCAATTTTTCTCTTACTTTGCATTCGAGCTGTATCTTTTCGGGGGGGACTGACCCCGGGGGCCCGGAGCAGTCGCAGAGGAGCGTCCAGGCGATCACGCCTCCAGCAAGGATTGCCAGGGAGATCGACCCCCACAGCACAACTCTCGTAGCATTGTGGAATCTGACACGAGGAAATGGCATATTTGAAGTCTGTCGCTGGCAGCGTATGAAGCTTGCGTATGCGGCGTGAACTGTCGGTTGAAGGGAGAGAGAAGCACGTCAGGCCGCCGTAGGCCGGAGGGTCCGCAGCTCCACAACGGCGCACCGGTTGAGACAACAGTGTCGAGGTTGCGTCGGGTGTTTGTGTAGTCGGCCGGGTCTCGAGGTCGAAGGGGGTGTCGATTTCGCAATCCTAAATTGAGGAACTCTTCAGTCGTGCGTACAAATGGAGGGCGACTTATGTGGTGTGTTCTCCGTCTTCTGAACTGGATATGACGACAATTTAGCCGACGTGCATTTCAGCCCTGGAATGGTTGGCTGCGCCTACCATGCATGTAAGACGGCTCAATTTCACTGTTCGTCGGAGCATGCGCCACGAGTACCTTTATCTCAGGTTGCACTCATTCTCAAATACAAGTCCAAACTGTTAGAAATCCATTATTTGCTTTTAAATAGAACAGACACAAGGTGGAACAGACTTTTCCTGCGCTGCGTTGACAATGGCTGTACTGGTATCAACGAGACCCCTGCATCCCTCGCAAACATTTGCCCGGCTTTCGCGCACAATTTATTGCTCTCCACGGATCCGGTCAGCACGCAATACAACACTCTTTGTGTGTCCGAAAATGACAACGCCCGAGCAGAACTCCGTCCCGTGGTGACAGCCGACCAGGGCCCCCTGAGACTATCGAAGTTGTAGGTTGGTTCAATGCAACGACAGAATCCGAACCGACCTAAGACAGCGCGGGGACAACCATCCAGGGCCCTGCTGCCCGCCTTCAGTGATCTTTTATCCGGGGTTCGCTCACCTGAGCGTGCAGCTGTAGCATACGAGGAAATCATCCTAGGACAACTGCCCATGTCATTCGCGCCATCATCGTGCATCACGAACAGTCTTATTTAATGCGAGTCACCCACCGTTGTATTCTACGATGTTTTCTTCTCAACGCTTCTCGCTTTCGTCCGCTACGAAGAGCGCGCCTCCGTCGGCGAAGCGATCATCAAGATGAAGCTGACGCAATGTCTTCTCTCCAGTCTCGTAGGACTCGCGGCTGCCCAAGATCGACTTTTCTCGTCAGCGTTTGGCTACCCCGGTCGGGATGCCAGCTATGACTACGTCGTCATCGGCGGCGGCACCGCAGGCCTCACGATAGCGTCCCGTCTCGCCGCAACATCCGCATCCGTCGCCGTCGTCGAGGCTGGCGGCTTCTACGAGGTTGAAAACGGTAACAATAGCGTTGTTCCTCTTCTCTCTCTCACCGGCATTGCCTTCATCGATCCCACACCCGAATTCACCCCACAGCCTTTGATGGACTGGTCGCTCGTCTCGGAACCGATCCCCGGCGTGGGTGGCCGGAGGGTCCACTACGCACAAGGCAAAACTCTCGGCGGTTCGTCCGCGATCAACACAATGTCGTACATCCGTGGTACAAAGGGCTCGTACAGTCTCTGGGCCGAAACTGTCGGCGACGACTCGTTCAAATGGGAGAACATGCTGAAGTACTTCAAACGATCTGTCCATCTCACACCGCCGAATGAGGAGAAACGGCAGAATACCAACGCGACCGTTGTGTTTGATGCTTCTGATTACAGCGGGGACGGTGGACCTTTGCAAGTTTCGTGGAACAATTGGGTTGATCCGACTTTGACATGGCTTGCGAAAGTCATTTTGAGCCTTGGCTTGACAATTAGCCCAAAAGGTTTCAGCAGTGGCGAGCTTGTCGGTCACGGCGCTTGGGTTCCATCGACAATTGAGCCCGAGAAAGCCCACAGGTCAACCAGCGAGAGCACATTCTTACGGCAGGCAATCAAAGATACGGGCATGATTGTGTACACCCATACTCAAGCCACCAGAATTCTGTTTAACGGCACTCAAGCCACTGGGGCCAGCGTCAACTCACAAGGTGTTGACTACACCCTATCAGCGCGCAAGGAGGTCATTCTTTCCGCAGGGACGTTTCACTCTCCACAACTTCTCCAAGTATCGGGCATTGGCTCCCGGGAACACCTTGAGGCTTTATCGATTACAGTGGTAGCCGATGTCCCCGGAGTAGGACAGAACCTCCAAGATCCTATCCAGATCTTCGTCGCGTACCCTGTTAGCACGACCTCAGCGCAATCCCTGGCTGCGGATCCAACGTTAAACTCGATATTCATTGAAGAGTATCTCAGATCTGGAAGTGGGCCGTACAGCTCGGCTGCAGGCTTCTTGGCCCACGAGCGCCTCTCGAACTCAACGCTCGCCAAACTCTCGCAGGATGCACGCGATAAACTCGCGTCCGTTCCTTCAGATTGGCCGCAGCTGTCATTTATCGTGGGCTCTTTCTCTACAGGTCTAGGACAAACCAGCGGTACCCTCGCCGCGTACCTTCCCCTAGTCTTCTCCCGAGGCAATGTCACCATCTCATCGCCTTCAGTACTGAAGACCCCACCCAAAATCAACCTGAACTGGCTCTCTGATCCAGCAGATGTCGAGCTTGCCGTAACGGCCGTCAAGCGACTTCGCACAGCATGGGCTTCAGACTTCGCCAACACCCCAGGCTTTAAAGCTGGCCCAGAAGGACTTCCTGGAGACGCGGTGCAGACCGACGAAGAGATTTTGGAGTACGTCAAAGCCAATGTCGGCCAAGTGTGGCATCCTGTATCAACATGTGCCATGGGCAAGGAAGAGGACGTCCAGTCCGGCAAGGCAGTCGTTGACAGTCATGGGAGGGTATTTGGCGTTCAGGGGCTGAGGGTTGTGGATGCAAGCACCTTCCCTTTTGCAGTTCCTGGACACCCACAGTCTGCTGTGTATGCACTGGCCGAAAAGATTGCAGATGACATTATAGGCACTTTTTGAGGATATTCCAAAAGCCATAGTAACAGCGCAGATTTCCAGAAACGGTGCAACGGAAGGTCGAAAAAAGTCCAGTTTGAGTATACAATTTCAAACCGCAGTGAATGCAAGCTTCCTCGACAGTAACTGGTTTATGAAAAGTCCTCAATTTTTCATCGTAGTAGGAATTCAAGCCTTCACATATGCCGGTGCCCTAGTGATGCGCCTCGCAGCGCCTCCACAAGGGCAATCAAAGCAATTTTGACCCCCATACTTGTTAACTTGGCTCTTTGTTTTTGTGTTTTTGATTACTTAGCTAACTTGCAAATAAAACAAATCAATCACTATATGAAATGACGTCATATAGACTACTTAATCGGGTAATTTTGAGGATATCTACAGCCTCATAAGCCCTCTTGTAGGCCCTCAGAGGGCCCCTTAGAGTGCCCCTTAGAAGGCCCCTTGGAGGGCTCTTTGGAGGGACCCTCAAGCCCCCCCCCCTAAGGGGGCCCCTCACGTATGCCCTCACGTATGCCTATAGGCTGGGCATACCTATAAGTGGGGCGATGGCCTATATAAGGCCTCCTATTGGCTAGAGTATAAGACATCAAATATTTCAATTCAATCGAGGGGTGTCGGATTGATCGATTGGGTAGTGGTGATGGCCTCACTTTGCTTGGTTAGGTTATTTGCGTTGTCAATTTACTTGCCCTTGTGGAGGCGCTGGCGCCTCGGTCAAATCAACATGGACTCGTGCTCAATAGGCTGAAGAAAGACTTGAGATGAACTTTAATAATATCACCACTGAGATAGAATGATTGCCTGTTATTCAAGGCTCTCTGACGATTCTTGCTTCTGCTTAAATAGTTCCTTCACCTATGATCCTTGCCGCAATCTTCTCGGCCAGCGCGTAAACTGTACTCTGAGGGTGGCCAGGAGGCAGAATAGGAAAGCTGGATGCATCAACAACTCGCAAGCCCTGAACACCGAAAACCTTGGCCTCGTTATCAATAACCGCCATATCGTCGCTCCTCTTCCCCATCTTGCAGGTACCGGCAGCGTGCCACACAGTCATCAGACTATCCTGGATTACAGCCAAGATTTCCTCATCGGTAATCTTGTCCAGGCCTGGCCAGTATTCCTCGCCAATGACAATTTCTTGCACCACGTCTGTATTCCAAACCTCCCGCATCCGACGCCACCAGCTAATAGCAACTTCCTGGTCAGCCTTGGCATATAACCAATTTGGATTGACGAGCGGCAGAACAGCAGTGTCGGAGGACTTGATCGTTACGTTGCCCCGGCTGACTGGGGCAACCATAGCACCCAGGATCGTTGCGTACTGTTTTCCATTGAGCGGTTGTTGTAGCGCTGGAAAGCGAAAGTTGCCGATGTAGCCGTTACCACTGATATGTTCAACCTCGGGCCAGTCATCAGGAAATTGAGACAAAGCTTCTTGGGTATTGGCAGACCAAGTGTCGCGGTACTTCTGCGGCAGCTTTTCCCAACCGATGAACTCAACGACATTGGAGGACAGGGGCCCTGTACCATCGTTGATGTAGTCAACGAGGCTGCGGGCGAGCACCACCGGGTTATGAAGAACACGGTTGAGAGTGTCAAAGTTGACCTCGTAGGCGGGTCCAAACATGACATGGTCCCACATGTTCTGTCCAACCCCCGGGAGATTTACTCGGAGAGGAATGTTGTTCTCGGCGAGAGTAACAGCTGGTCCAATACCTGAGACCATCAAAAGCTGTGGAGACTGGAAGGCACCTGCGGAGACGATCACTTCCTTTGAGGCGTGAATAGTGTAGCCTACGCCCAGAGACTTGACCTCAACCCCTGTAGCGGTATTGTTCTGGTTAATGACGATGCGTTTGGCCATGGTCTGGGTATAGACCTTGAGTTTGTCCAGGTTCTCGTTGACGGCCTTGTATATGTACTCCGCGGAGGAGCTGCGGGTTTGATCCGAGCTACGCACTGTGGACTGCGAGTAGTGATATCCTAAGAGGTTTCCGCTGCTGAAACCGGTGGTGCGTTCCATACCAATTGCTTGCATGCCCTTTTCTAACCATGTCGCCCAAGCTGACACCCAGTTTGTGTAGCCGACTTGCACAGGGCCTCCGGGTGAGCTGAATACATCGGGGTCATATTGTGTCGACGCATTTGATCGGCGTTTAGTGGTATCAGGAGGCGTAAAGTTTGTTGACTTCTCAAAATAGGGTAGAAAGTTGTCAAATCTTTGGCGCATTAGCAATTTGTGTACATTTTTGAAAGACCCGTGTCAAGCTCACTTATAGCTGTCATCCCCAACTTCTGAAGCCCACATATCGTAAGAGCCCTTGCTACCTCTGTGATGGATCATAAAATGCAGGGCCGAGCTGCCACCTAAGCACTTGCCTCGGGCATAGTGAATTTTGCGGTTGTTAGCGCCTACTTGGGGCTCCGTCTGAAATGCCCAGTCAACCGTAGGGACGGTGTCATAAATGCTCGACCCGATGCCAATGATGTCGCCAGCGGGTGTCGTCCCCAAGACAGGCTTAGCAATCTCATAGTAAATACCTGCTTCGATGATGGCGACTGAGTGGCCGGCTTCTGCAAGTCTGTAGCCGATAGCGTTGCCAGCCGTGCCGCCTCCTACCACCACATAGTCGTATGTGGCTTCGGTTCCAAGGGCGCCTTCAACGACACCAAGCACACCTTGCACTAGACCCTGGCCCGAGAGAATGGCTTTTACAGCCGACAGGATAGGGTTTAATAGCGAGATCCCAATGCTCTGTAATGCCGCAGCAAATTCATCGTTAAAGATCGGTGCGGAGAGGGCACGAACGGCGAAAAGCACAAGAGTCAGAGAAAGGAAGGAGTTACGAACGCGCATTTTCGGGTTATCTGAGGACCCAACTATGAAGTAAAGGCAATGTTTTTACTTCATACAGAAATTCACAATGTGATCCATCGATAAATAAGAAATCAGTAGGTGACAATGTCCAGACATTCTAGCATGTACTGCGGGCAGCGGCTGCGTGGAATCCTCAAGTGACACCATGCAGCGTCCTTTTGTCGGCACTCAGGGCTCCAAACAATTTCACCACAAAAGACTTGAAATGCGAGAGAGGGGGGAATCGAGACGGATGCAAGGTCGGATTGCTTAATGTCCACGTGGGGTCTATGAGGTAACGCATGAGTTGCTATCCAAAAAGAATGAGGTTGATGCAGTCATCTGCTCGAATGTGGTGAATTCTGCGATGATCTTTCCAGACACATGCACCTTCGTGCATGATGCATCGGACAGCAACGGGGCAGATTGACCACAACGAGACAGCCTTGTGAGTGGTGACGGGTGGGTCAATGCCCTAACCCATGGATCTCTGTGGTGGAAGAGCAACACAGTAACAAAATGCAGCAATAGAGCGGATGTGTATTCAGTCGAGCAGTGGTTGTACTAGTTACCCGTGACGAATGTTTGAACAGGAGATCGCTTTGGTTACATGTAGGTTACGGTTCACGCACAATGAACAACAAGAGAAAACAAATGGGAATACTTTGGCTGCTGTTCAATGCTCCCTCATTAGGCACATGATTCTGATTTCTTGTTCTCGATTGGCTCGTACATATTGATTGCTCTTGGCTGATGAGATCTCAGCTGTCATGCAGCAGGGCATTCGAGAGGGGCAGTCTAGATAGGGCGGGGACAGCCACAGCTATTGGCACGCTGCAAGAAGATCGTCAATATCACATGCGCAAATGAGAAAGATGTGACAGCCCGATATGCATGGAATGCCACACAAAAGATCAACTGGAAGACGTCTAACCTCTCCTATGGGTTTCGTCTCAAGCCCGGTTTATAATCCATTACAATGACAGCTACAGCGGCATTTCATAACTCTAGGTACTTCAGCATGCTAGATGCCAACTAAAGAATCGTTCATAAATGCTAGATGTTCGTCGTGAGTTGCATACTCGTCGCATGTTTTCCAATATGTAAATTGGAGAACTTGAGGAGAGATCCAATAAGAAGCGAATGCGAGGTTGTGGCAGCGGGTAAATTCTCAAAGGCTCAACAATAAAAACCGTTGATCATCAGGGAAATCCAGGCACTTCACCCTTCAAAGGCTTCAAAGGCAACGTGTGTACTCGAAGAACACAATGGTCAAGCATCGTTCCTTGAACATGCTGACTTGAGCGCACGATTATTGAATTTCATATCTTTCTTCCACTGTCTTACTTTTGACATCCTCTCTACGGATTGACACGTTGCTCGCGAGAGGCACGTAGCTCATTGCTACTGTGTCACAGTGTCCAACAAGGAGCCCCAAGCTTTCGAGCCTTCCGTCGAACGATAAACATCCCCACCAGAACAACACATTTGCCCTGGAGCCTTTCCGTCGGGTAATTGACCTCGGGCCGCATGATGATGCCAATCCAATTAACAATAATGACCGCATTCAATCACTCGCCGGATGTGAATGGCCAAGACTCTTAGAACGTCGGCCGGATTGGGCTAGTCTAACGTCGCTAAGATCGAACAACCATCGAACCTACCCGCAAATCATTCTCCCCTCCTGTCAAAAAAGCCTTATGTAAATGTGCTGAATCCGGCCTGATGGTTTGCTCATAATCTTGGTCGGCCTCTGATCTACGGCACGAGGTGCCACCCGATCCGACCCGTCACCCATCGATCTGCGACATGAGAGCGCTGGCTGAGACATGAACGCGACTGGAAGTTGAGGACGAGAAAGATCTGCAACCTAGGTTTAGTTTGTGTATTCATAACCATCGTCATAGAAGATCAAAACTGCAGTTCTTCGCGTCTCGTTCAGTGCGTTCAACGATAGCCCTGATCAGCAACCGACGAATGACGCGTTCCGCTAGCTCCTGGCAGCTGCCAGTTGGTCAATATCCCACTCCATTGGTCGACCCTGGTGTACCACGTATGGTTTCGTGCTTCTACTGGCAAGGATTAACGATGTTGCCTAGAACGTTGTATTTTCCTTGAAAGCTTAGCTCTCCAGGTTCTCTTGGATTCAGTCACGTTTCCACGCGAGACGATGTCTCGTAATGTCAGATGGTCTTCCTTAAGTATTCGAAGATGCAAGAATCGGAAGAGACTTACATATACTACGCCTAATTAAAACCGAACAGCAAGTGGGTTGTATATTGGGTGATGAGATGACAACTGAAACAACCCTCGTCAAGCCATTTTGAAGAACAGACGAACATCTGTGTTCGTAAACGGCCCCTCATCTCGTTGTCAAGCTTCTTTCCTCTTGATAACTTCTTTCTCCCGTGGTCTGACATTGCTCAAGTTCTTTCGATGACGATCCTCGATAGACATCAACTTTCGTAGCCGCAAACATACTTTGAATAGGCGCGGCTCTCATCCTCGTGGCCCTACACAGAACCTCGTCTCCCACCTGAGACATGAAGGAATGACTTCATAATCGTTGACGAACCATCACTTAGCCGACCGATTTGATTCAAGCTTCCGCATTTGGTCTACGCTGCGGATGGTATTGGGTCGCCTTCGAGGCCGAGGCCCGGTCTACTGCAAGATGCGGGGGAGAGAAACTGAGACATTCGGCTTTAGGGTGTTGTTGATCTTGGCACCATTCCAGCCGCTGCGATTTTCTCCCGATTTTGAAAAGATCTTCGTTATGCTTCCGACAAGTCGGGGAGTGACAGCTTGTCAGTCATTTGTCTGGGCCTCTCACATCACCATCAGGATAGGCTGCCGATGATGTCTTTTCGATACCGTTCCTCAATGGGTCCGGCCTTACCACTCAGCCGGAAGCGGCATCGGTGTGAAGTAGGATCAACATCATCGTAACGACATCGTTTTGTTGACAGCCCCAATCCCGCAGAACGTAAAGAGGGGCTGACCCCCAAATCTACAAATATCTTTCTACTAAACTGCGTCTATATCCTCCGCACCGCTCACCTGCTGAGGCTCAACATGGAAGACAACAACTCTCCGGCCTGGAAGAAACTTGCAGTACTCGTCCAACAGGTGCCACGACGTATGGGTCGCGCCAGTGCCTCTTTCCTCCGTCCTCGCCGGAAGTCCTCGTCGGCGTCCCAGCCAAGACGTCGCTCATCCACTGTCTCTACCATGCGATTCGTCAATCCTTTCGTCGAGGGTCAAGACGCGTCCCCGTGGTCGCGCAGTTCCCTCGAAAACGGCTGCTACCGAGATTTCAAGAAGGACGAACGCCCTATCCTGGTATCCATCAGATCTGCGAGAAGCTCTGTCTCCTCATTCTTCAGCGACAACCACAGCGATGCCACCAGCCGCCCTCGCAGAAATGGCTATCTAATGTCGATACTATGCCTGATACTCCCGTCCTTCATGTTCAGCCCGATGAAGAACCCCTTTGCCGAGTTCCGAAGAAGTTCAACATCGCAAGTCTACGACTCTACGGCCTACCTCGATGGTCTTCGTGGCTTGGCTTCATTCATTATTTACATTTCTCACTACTCTCACCTCTGGTACCCCGAATTGGGCCAGGGATACGGTTCGGCCGACGATGGCTCAATCGTCTGGCAGAAATCAATCGTCAGGATTATACACTCCAGCCGGTCCGCCGTGACCATTCTCTTCGTCATATCCGGCTACGTTCTCTCCATCAGAGCCCTGACAATGATTTACAAGCATAAAGACGAGCATCTACATCGAAGCATTGCTTCGTCTATCTTGCGTCGACCAATCCGTCTGTACGGCCCCGTCGCCATCTCTACCGCCATCATCGCTATTATGGTACACTTCGGCTTCTACATCAGGGACCCAACACCCGCGCCGGCTCCACCAGTCGTGGACACTTTCGCCGGCCAAATGCAGCATTGGCTCGGGGACTTTGTCGGTCTGATGAATCCGTTCAAGCCCGTTGCTCACCAAGATGACGGTGGAGTTATGGCCTATAATGGACACCTCTGGACCGTTCACGTTGCCATCAAGGGCTCGCTGCTCGTCTTGGTGGTTCTCCTTGCTTCTTCACTGGTGCACAAGTCTATCCGCGTTACCGGAACGATGCTTCTCACCGGCTGGCTAGTTCACCTAGGTGACTGGGATAAAGCTCTTTTCCCCGCCGGACTTCTGCTGGCCGAGTTCTCTCTCGCTGCCCCTCCCAACGCTTTGCACGACGTCCTCCCGCGATGCAACACCTCAACCAGCCGGCGTGCGTTTGCGTACTTGACGGGTACTTTCCGCCATGTGTGGACGATTGCCCTGTTTGTATATGGCCTTCATCTCATGTCCTACCCAGAGACAAACGGAGCTTCGTCTCCAGGATTTTACTGGCTGTCATCGCACGTCTTGTTATGCTATCGTGGCTCGGACGCTCAAGTACAGCTTCACTGGAACGCCATTGGTTCCATTCTTTTCATCATTGCCTTGATGTACTCACCCCAAACCAACATCCGACGCTTTTTGGCAAATATTGTGTGCGGTTTCAGAACCCGATCACCCTGGCACAAGAATAACACGGTCTTGCACACAAGCGAGAAGGAAAAGCTGGAAGAAGAATCGGCGCCGACCACCACTTACGATCAGGGCGAGCCACTGCTCCAACGGCTCTTCACCACAGACATTGCCCAATACCTTGGGCGCATCTCTTACTCCATCTACCTGTGGCACGGGTTCATCAACCACGCAGTGGGCACACGGTGGTTGGTTCCCGCCAACGCCGCCTTGATGAAGAGTCACTCTCTTGCATCCGCGCCCCTCGAGAACCTTCCTCTGAAGATGACTGGTTCGATGTTCGAAACGGCTTGGAGCGCGTATGCTTTCTCGTTTTGGGGAAGCTTTATCCTTAATACGTTGGTTCTGTTGTGGGTTAGTGACATCTTCAACCGCGTGGTGGATGTACCAACAGTCAAGATCGGGCGATGGCTTGGCGACAAATGTTTCAAGAAGTTGTGACGCAAGATTCCATAAACCTTCCATATTTACGATTAATTGGTAATGATAATACTTCTTCATAGGCAATCATAGCGAGTTGTTGGAAGCAAATATTACAATTTTTTTCAATCATTGTGCTCAAGCATTTATGAACTGAGACGTACGCACAGATTGTAATTTGTGCTTGGGTGAGTTGGCTTTATAATACCCATGGTAACCCATATCCATATCCTTGAGTAAATAGGTATTACCCAGCGCCCGTAGGCTCCCGTGGGTATCCATGGGCAACCGGGTCATGGGACTTTCAAGCCTATTGAATAGCGAGTGTTCTTCGACGACATCCATCCCTGCCCTGGCCGTTCAATACTCAGTACAAGCCAACTTCTTCAACAAGCCCCTCAGCCAGCTCTCCATTCATTATGCCGTGGATATAGCTTTCTCCAACAACTCTGAGAAGCCCCCTCTGTTCATCTAGGCGCAGAACAAATGGTGCGTCACAGCCGTGGATCACACCAACCCTGTCCCCCACCTCCGTGCACAGCGGCACCAACCCTATCAGCCCTTGCTTGGTGACAGCAAGCTCATATTTGTTGGCGATATTCGACAGCTGGTTTGTGTACATGGCGCACTCCGGAGGAAGGGAGCCCACGTCTGAAGCCGAGGTCACCCCGAACTGTGAGACCGCCACCAGAAATTCCGTCTGCCAGACGTTGCATACTCCAACATAGAGAGAATACAACAATAGCGGTATGGCAAACACCCAATACAGCCATCGTAGGAGGAGAATACTTACCACAGACAGCCTGGCATACTTCAAAGGCAGCTTCCCCTTGAGGAAGGCCATGGCCACGATGAAGATCTCCAGATACAGCGGCAGTCGCCGCAGGATGGCGAGTGCGAATGGCGACGCCAGGACGCACGCTATCGCCATGGTGAAGACGACAAAGGCGAACATATCGCGGTCTCGCTTCTTCACCATTTGGTACAACTCAAAGAATTCCGGCCCCGGGACCTCGCCCTGCGACGTTCGGTTGCCAATTTGAGTTCTCCAAATGACATCCTCGAGCCTCTCCCCCGTCGGGTACTCCCTACCCGCGATATTGAACGTGGCCATGATCAGGAACTCGTTCATGAAGGCCCCTAGCCTCATTCTTCCAGGTATGATAGCGGCTATGCTGTCGACACCAATGGATTTGACGTACAGAATGTTGCGCGTTTCGTCGAAATGGTGGTAGAAGTTTGTGTCGCCGCAGGCTGTGTACAAGCGCATTGAATCCTCGAGTGGCTTATCATTCCCCCCGTCCGTTGGGGGTGCCAAGGTCGAGCCATCTTCGTCAGGTTCTTGATTCTTATTCTCCATCGGCTCGGCCTCTTCGTTCTGCTTGCCGTGAGATCGCAGGGTGAATCCAGGTCTTTTGTCTTGGGCATACGTGACGGAAGTCCATTCGGGCACCCACGACGGCGCTTCGTCATTGTCACCACCGCGTTTCTTAGACTTCTTCGACCTCAGCCCCGAACGAGCGAGAACCTCGGCTCCCTGGCCCTGCTCAATCTTGCCAATCGCGAACCGCTTGCTAACCACTGCAAGGGTCTGTTCTTTCGAGTAAATGGGCGCAAACTCCTCGCCGTCAACATCCCCAGCCAGTCCCAACAACGCATAGATCCTATCCACAGGCTGCGTCGCCAGAAAGGTACCAGTCATCATAAACAACTCGAGCAACCCTCTCCTCCCAAAAGGAAACACCCTCCCCTCCGCCCTGTGTTCCAACATCCTCGGCCTTGCCAAGCGTTCATACTCGCAAATCGCCGCAAAATCCCGCTTCACAGGCAACGGCTCCTTCCACCTATCGTTTTCCGTGTCCTCCCGGTAGTTGAACCACATGTACGCGGGACTCATGTATCCCCCGCGCCTCAGACGGAAGTCCCCAATCGTGTGCATCGCGCTCGCCCCCTCGTGCGCGAGTCTCCACCGATCGAGCCTGCGCCTGCGGTACCACGGCACCAGAAGCTCCAGCGGAACCAGCCAGTTCGATCTGAACCCCTGATGCGCGAGGCGGAGGTTGTCGATGTAGGCCCGCGTCGCCAGGAACAGTCTACGCCAGTCGATCTCCCCCGCGCCGCAGAGGACCGTCAGCTCCGTGGCGTTGACGAACTCCTGGATGACCCAGACGCGGCGGAACCACGGCCGGCGCCAGAAGGCGCGGAGCGCCGGCCACTCGGGCGCGCCCGGCGGCGGCATCACGAAGCCCCCGGCTAGGGCGGCCGCGAAGTTAGCCGTCGGGAGGACTTCGTCGAGGTAGTCTGCAAAGTCGGAGATGTGCTCTAGGAAGGCTATGGCGAGGTCGCTATTGTCTGCGGACGGGCCGAGGTACACTAGTACGCGCGCGGCGGTGCCGTAGATGTCGGGCATCATGCGGATCTGCGCGCCCTTCTCGACGTTGTCGGCGCTGCGGACTTGGTTGATGCAGATTGCGTCGACCCAGACTACGCGGTCTCTGCCAGTGTAAGCAATCTGGCGGAGGAGGGTATGTAGAGATGCGGTTAATGGAATGATAGATGCGGGGGTGCTGCTGTCGGCGTTCTCGTCGTTCACGAGAAGCTTGAAGGGTGTCTTGGTGTTGCCTCCCCAGTGATAGGATACGGCTTCGTATGGTAGCTTGTGCTCTAGGTACGGTCCGTCTGACGCCCACCGAAATGCTGGGTTGGACAGCTCATGGTGGAGAATGGTCCCGGTGACGTCTCGGCGCGGGTCCGGTGCCGGGTGGAGACGGAGCAGCCGAATCTCACCCGGCCCCAAAGCCCGATACTGGTATGGGTTCATCGCTCAGACTTGAACCTTACTCTAGCTTTGGAAAGAACGTGTTGCAAGTCAGACAAAATGCCACCAGAAAACAAGGCGGCATCTGACTTTTCAGCTCCTGGCCCCCCTGTCCAGCCTAATGCACAAGCGCCTTTCAGCTGTCTCAATCAGGACATCATGTTGAGATGGTAGACGAACGGGCCTAATTCCGCCCATCCTGCTGTCTATTCTAGTCTGAATGATCGCCCTTGCAGCTCATAATGACGAGTGATCTCTGCCTTGCGAAGTGCATCAAGTTTTATCCATTTCGTCTCTATTAAAATCCATATGTGCCTGACATCGCTCTTATGCCCCTCCATTTTACGCCAAAATCCACGTCATTAAATGCTCGCTACTGTATGAATGCATGCCAAGAATTCAACTATCAGAATCGTGCAGCCGCCGTGAACCCGCAACCAGTCTTGCCCTGCTCCTCAGCCACAGCCCTCGCAGAGCATGCCCCCTTGGGCCCAGCGCAGCACCCCGAGGCGCAGTCCGCATCCGAGAGGCACTGCCCCGTGATGAACTGCTGCCCGTTACCCTTCCCTACATTCTGCGATCCAGCCGCGCCCGTGTCGCCACCAGCAGCCGGGGCAGCCTGAGCAGGCGCAGAGGGCGCGGCCGCTTCGGCGCCGGTCCCTGATCCCGCACCAGCCGCGGCACCGCCGAAGCCACACCCCGTCTTGCCGTTCGCGTTGGCCACGGCCACAGCAGAACATGTGCCCTTGCCATTGAGACCTGCACAGCAAGCCGACGCGCAGTCCGCGTCTGTGAGACACTGCCCTGTGATGAACTGCTGGCCGTTGCCTTTGCCGACGTTCTGCGAGCCCGCGGCTCCCGTGTCTGCCGCGGCAGCTGTGTTTCCAGTATCAGCGGGGGCTGCGGCGGCGGCCATTGATGGTGCGGCAGCAGGAGCAGCGGCGGCAGCTCCGCCGTCACCGAAGCCACATCCGGTCTTGCCTGCTTGGAACTGCGCTCCAAGACCGGAGCAGATGCCGGCGCCGTTGAGGGTGGCACAGCATGTGGAGGCGCAGTCTTTGCTGCTCAGGCAGGCTCCGCCGATGAACTGGGCACCTTGACCGTTGCCGACGTTCTTTGCGCCAGCTGGGTCTGGGGAAAGAGGGCTTGGGGCAGCAAGGACTGAAGCAGCGACTGAAGGATGTCAGTGTGAGACAGAGAGGTTTTGGGTCGGGAGAAGACTTACAAAGTGCTGCGGCAACTGAGAAACGAACCATGATCAAAGTTAGAGAAGGGAAGGAGTATTTTCAAAATACCCTCAAATTACTAGAAAAAGATATGTTTAGACGACTGCAGCCTTGTACTCGATGCTTCTGGTTAGCTCCTCGATCAACTCAATCGAGGACACCTGCCATCTTAAATAGCATCGATCCATCCCCACGAAATGGTCTGAACATTGAAGTAAGCTTGTCAAAGCCCCTCCCTCAGCGCTTGCTGATGTCCTTCCCGCCATGTCACGAAGATCCAGCTGGAGATGCGACGCAGTTCTGTCACAGGGGCACGTTTCTGGATCTGAGGCTGAGCGACAGAGACGAAGCAGAGCTCACCCAGCCTGCGCGCCGTTGTGTGTGAAAATCCGACCGAATATGCGTACCGCCACCACGGCGATCTTCTGCCGTTTGACCTGCACGATACCACGGGCAGTAACAATTAAGATGGAGAACATAGCGCAAGGTAGCAAATCAGCCAGTGAGGTCGTTGAGGCTGATGACGGGGGGGTTAAAGTCGCAGACGAGGCCGTCCCTGTCGGGCCAATGTTTCGGATGAGACCATGCTCCCCAAAACATCGGAGAACGGCAAACAGGCCCAAACACGGTCGAGGAGCCCCTGGCTCAGACGAGCTGAAGAAGAAATTGTTAGTCAACGATTGAAGAAAAGAGATAGGACGGTCGACCTTGCTACAGATCTTCCGACGGCCTAGGTTTCCCCATTTTCGCAGATGTGCAGAGCGACATCGCGACGACGGCTCGCCATTCGTCTGCGGCGCTGTGTTTGGGGGCCCGGGCCCAAGCATTGCGAAACCGCAGGGCCGCTGTCATGGCTGTCAGCCTTCGGTGTGCCGTCTGTCCGATGTTAGTTCGTTTGAACTGGAGTTGCCCCTATTCGCGAGATCCATCCTGCGCTGGAGTTGGGCCGAATTGGCAGGCGACTTCAGCCGAGTTCCATCCATGGCCCAAGGGGGAATGTGGGAGGGAGGCTGTGATGTATGTTTGAGGAGATGGTGCGGGTTGGTTCATGTCTGGTCCGCCTCGCAGCATGAATGTCCTTGAGGATCCTTCGCTGAAAAGGGGTGAAATTGCCGGTCATAGCCAACAGGATCGCGCTGGACGCTCCACTGAGGTCGGCTTTGATGCCCACGATGCCTGTGTTGATGGTTTGAGATATCCTGGGAGGTGGCGGGCAGCAGTCGGGGATGATGGCACAGGGGAGGATCTGCCGTTCGGCGCAACGATTGTGCCGTGTTTGCTTGCCAGAACGATCGTGAAGATGTTTGCTCCGAGAAGCTCGATGAAGAAATGCGAATCATGAAGTTGATCAAACGTCAATCCTCCAAAAGTTCAGCAGAGTTTCGGCGACTCGGAGAAAATCAGAAAAAAAGACCAAGCAGTGCCCTGTGAGCGCAGAATTGACTTTCTCGCAGCAACAGGGGCCCTGAGCAGAAAAAGCTGGCAGCTCCAGGGGATGGATGCCCTGTCTTCTTGGCCGGGAGATCACTGATTGGCTTTTGCGGCTGCTTATCTCATCTAATCAGCCCCTGAGTGACCAAGACACAGAGCAACAACTGAGCAGCGACTGACTCTGACAACTTCATCGACAGAAACATGTTTCTCGACGTGACTCGCCATGTTGCATCCTAAACGCCTCTTTGCACGACATGTCGATCATGAAGACTTCGCAATCTTCACCTAACACCAGCGATGCGGGAATTGTCGCTATGTGTTGGGACGAAAGACACCGCTGGGAGGCGACAGTCTGCGACACCAACCACGACAATCCTGCGTGTTGGACATGGATGAATGGGCAAAGTCGCATTCTCCCAGGGGCCACCTGCAGCTGACGTACTCTTCGCTTCATCCCGCAGCCTCTGCTCATTCAATGTGGCCCAAGTCAGCTCATTTACTGTCGCGGTTTCACTGAGGACGGCCAAGCGATGCATCGAGTGAAGCCATCGCCGAAGATGCCAACACGCCAAGGAACCAAACACACATGGATGCAGCATCTGCCTTGAAGGTAATCATGATCAAGCTGTACAACTCAGCGAAGTCCACAAATTGACTGCGGCCGGTTGATGACAGGCCCACGGCCACGAAGCAATCGGGACAGGCAGTATGTTCAGCTGGGTTCAAGTGAACACCACCAACACTTATCGACAGCAATCGAAATGCTTGGGTCTGGCAGCGCGATGCCATCAGAACCAGCCTCATTTCCAACAATCTATTCGAATCAATGTGTTTTCTCTCGTCGGAGTGCCCGCTTTCGCTTGTCGCTTCTTCGTCGTCCGGAGATCCGGAAAGCAAGCAGCAGCCGCAGTTCCAATACCGCCGGCTGCCTTTGGAACTCCCGGGGAACGCAGAAATGCTGGCTGAGCGTCTACGAGATCGCACTTAAGCTCTAACAGCTGATCGTATTAGATGCTGTGTGAGGACGCATCGGTGCCGATACCTCGATCTCAAGAACTCAGCGCTCCGTAGCCAGCGACTAGGCGGTGAGGTCAGTTCGGCCCCATCTCCGACCGGGCATCTTGCGAAGGCATGGCTCTACTGAGTCTCTGTCGAAAGAATTATGATGGAAACCCTTCTCGAAATGAATCAATTGGTGACCGTACTGGCGAGGTCTTGCACACGGACTGCCAATGTCCGTGTCTTCCGACGCCGTCCCGTCGTCGAAACTGATTCCTCTTCAAGCTAGTTTGCCCGGAGCTTCTTCCGCCATTGCAATGTCCAACAGGACCCCGCCATTGCAATGTCCAACAGGACCCCGCCATTGGATGCCCGCCCAGGCGACGGTCTCGATCGAGCGATTGAGCCGGCCGTGGAGGCTTGCGGCGCGCAACTGACAAGGTTCAAGACATGCGCCAATTAGTGCCGATGTGCGCGCTCGGTGGAATCATGCCATGTCTCTGCTGCATTCCAACTGCTGGCAGACATCTCACGATTGGCCACCACGCACATCGAGCAGGCCATACTATGCCGCTTCCGTCCTCACCTGCTTGCGACTTCTCCAATCCTATCAACCTGTCACATCGCTACTGTTGGAGCTGTTGGAGCTCAGAACACTTGTTCGTCGCGATCCTTCTCTGTCTTGCAGACACCTCACTGGGCCAGACTATCGACCGCCACTTCTGCCACCGTCCAAACTCACCGGTCCGAGATGGGGCTCGCCCTGGACCTTTTCCGCTGTCATCTGCAAATCATTTGTGTCAGTGACCTGGCTCCTGGGACCGCAATGCCTGCAGATGACAGCCCGGGGTGGTGATCAATCACCGCCTGTTCCTCCCATCGGCCCCTCTTCATGAGTCGCTCAGGAAAGGGTCCTCCCGGCCCCGGCCAACTGTCTAATCAAAGACATGGCTGTGCGGGGAAGAAAGAGATGTCGATAGCGTGATATTTCTGCTCACCTCACCGATCGCCAGACCAGAGCCGCAGTCCGTCACACCTGGACCTGACTAGACCTGCGTACAACGGCACCTCTTTACCTACACGCGTTGCTGTAATTGCGAGACTCGGAAGCTTGTCGACATGGCGGCGCTTCAGGCTGATGTTGTAGAGCCCGACGACTTCAACGACAACGACTCGGCCGTGGGCGATACCAATGTGCGAATCTCACTGCCTGTGCGCTCGGCGAAGGTACTGACGGGTGGGACAGGACGGGACCTCGACAACGGCGAGCTTGAACAGCTCGATCCTGGACTATCGCAAGGAGAACGGCCGCACCTATCACAGGTTCCGAGATGGAAGTGAGTAGTCCAGCAGGATGGGCAAGGAGTCAGCTGATTGTGATCGAGAGTACCACTTCCCCAATGATGAAGAAGAGAACGAGCGACTAGGTATTGACGATCCCGCCTCGAGCCTGTTGCAAGGCAGCGTATTGACATCGTCTTGAGACCTTCAACATCACATCTTCTACCTCTCTTTTGACGGTCTTCTTGGCCTGTCCCCTCCCAATAAAGCCGAAGCCAATCCAGGACGCGTTCTTGACCTTGGAACGGGGACGGGTATCTGGGCCATGGACTACGGGGATGAGCATCCAGGCTCCGAGGTGGGCAATCCAGCAGCGCCCTCTTCAATACGATCTGACCCGAGTTTGTAGGTCATTGGTGTCGATCTCTCTCCGACGCAGCCGAAGTTGTATGTGCTATTGAGACCTCACTTTCCGGTCTCCGCTAACATCTTCCAGCGTCCCGCCAAACGTCAAGTTCGAGATCGACGATATCGAAGACAGCTGGACCTACTCCCGCCCCTTTGACTACATCCACTCCCGGATGATGAACTCGTCCATCTCTAAATGGGAAGAATACCTGCGCCAATGCTACGAGTAAATGCCCCCCCTCCCTGTCTCCAACATCTGACCCCCAAAATCTCACACGGCCCCCGCAGAAACCTCAACCCGGGCGGCTACCTCGAGCTCCAGGAATTCGGCCTGCCCCTCTCCGACGACGGCACCCTGACCCCGGACCACGCCCTCCACAAGTCGATGGCCCTGCTGGGCGAGGCCGCGGCAAAGATGGACCACGCCTTCATCGAGCTCAGCACCCTCAAGCCCATGATGGAGGCCGCGGGCTTTGTCGACGTCGCCGAGATCTGCTTCAAGTGGCCCAGCAACACCTGGCCGCGCCACGCAAAGTTCAAGGAGCTCGGCGCGTGGAACTACGACAACATCACCACCGGGCTGCAGGGGTTCCTGATGGCGTTCCTGACGAGGGGCCTCGCGTGGAAGGCGGATGAAGTGAATGTGCTCGCCGCGCAGACGAGGAAGGATGTTGGGGATCGGAGCATTCATGCGTACTGGCCCATGTGAGTGTGTCTCCCTTGTTATGGTGGTTGGTGCTGACTTTAGCAGGATCGTGGTGTACGGCAGGAAGCCGTAGTGAGGATCCGCCGAGCCGGGAGACGGGGCCGGGTGGAGTTCTCCTTCCCGGACGGGCCCATGCTTTCGGGGCCAACCCACTAGTTCACGAGAGGAATTTTAACAAGAAGCGATTTCACGATGAAGTTTTTTCCCACTCACCCAGCTCTAGCCCTACCGCTCCACTTGGCTCTTGGTCCCTCGCACGCCTGCCATCGTCAACAATCAATATCTCGCAGGCCTTGCTAGCTCAATCGGTAGAGCGTGAGACTCTTAATCTCAAGGTTGCGGGTTCGACCCCCGCGTGAGGCTCAATTCCTCCCTCCTGCTTTCTTTTTGTCAGTCTGAGTCTTCAGGTCCAAGTATCACGCTCTTCTTCCACATTTTTGAGTGGTGTAAGTCTTGTTGATAGTCATTATTGTTTGTTAATTCCAACCGCCTGCTTATTCTACATATGAAAATCAGACAAAAGACCACACCAGATAGGTATCCTACACAAAAGACGAAGAAACCAGGCCCGCTCATAATCCTTTCGTCATGACCCTCCTGAACACCGTAACCAGCCAGCCACAAACATCCCGCACGCGGACAGAAGCATTGCGACACCGCGCCGCCACGCCCCTGACCACCACCACCGTATCCCTCTCCACCTTGCTCAACCTGTCCCTCACCACCTCCGCCACCGCCTCCTCCTCCTCTTCCTTCTCCGTCTCCTGCGGGCCCTCCACATCATCGACATCGTTCTCAACCCCGCGGTACTCAAAGTACTCGCTCCACTCCGGGTCCGCCAGCAGCGCCGCGGCCACCTCCCGCTCGACCGGCAGGCTGAACTCGGTGCCCTCGTCCGCGCCCGCGGGCGCCCCGTTGACGCGCGCGGGGTACGTCACGAACATGCCCGTCTGCACGCTCTCGAAGAGCCAGCGGAACGCGTACGGCGCGCCGAAGCCGAAGTCCGCCTCGCAGGGGCGCGTGTCGCGCCAGTCCGTGAAGAGCGTCGTCATCGGGTGGAAGGCGTCGCCGCGGATGAAGAGCGTCGTCTTGTCGCGGATCGGCGCGAGGGAGGCCAGCATCGCGTTGACGTAGTCCTGGGTCACCGTGTTGGTGAGCTGGCGGATGTACCTGAAATCGCATTATTAGCAAATCTTTCAAACATCAGACAGAGGGAAAGAAGAACGTACCATGCCAACTTCCAAAACGGCGCCGAGGAAATCACCTCCTCGCCGCTCATCGTCGGCACCACGCTCTGGAAGCTGACGGCCACCGACATAAAGTTACTCTGGATCCGCGCCGGCACGACCGGGTCCCGGAACCGCGGGCGCATATTTACCGCCTCGCCCCAGATCAGCGCCTCCTTCAGGTCCGGCTCGTACAGCGCCGCCTTGTGCTTCGAGAGCACGCGCCAGATGTGCGCCGTGTACGCGTCGTAGCTCGAGATCCACCTGCCCTCCTCGCCGTCCTCATCCGGCGGGGCGGCGAGCTTCTTGAGCTTCGCCATCTTGCTCTTGGGCAGGTGGAAGAGCAGCCGCTTCGACGGGCGGTACGCGGCGTTCCGCTCGGGCGCCGCGCTGGGGCCGTCGACCTGTTGCGACTCCGGGAGGTCGGGCTTCGTGGTGAGGGAGAAGTCGAGGCAGGCGGGGTCCCAGGCGGGGAACTTAGGCGCGGAGCCGGTGCCGCGGGCGGTCCAGATGGCGTTGCAGTTCTCGGCGAGCTGGTGCAGCTGGCCGGACCAGGCCATGATGTCGCCCGAGAAGTGGTGGTGGTGCATCATGAAGACCATGCCGCCGGGGATGAAGGTGGCCTTGTAGGCGGCGGCCTTGGGCCGGCTCGTCCAGTGGGACTCGGGGCACTGGCCGCCCTTGAAGGGGTGGACGGACCACGTCTTGGGGTCGCCGAGGGCCTTTGAGGAGAAGTGTTGCCTCTCGAGGTCCGCGAAGGTGGGATACTTCTTGTTCTTGCCGGTGGCGGCGATGTTGTCAAGCCATTGGACGTGAAACTCGACCGCGTCTTCTCTCTTCTTGTGCCAGCACAGCCCGGAGCCGGAGGGGTGTTTTGTGAGGACGCCGGGCAGCTGGCGGACCTGGGAGAGGGTCCTCTCGAGGCCGGCCTTGAGGACTGTGATGAGCTCGGACTGGGAGTCTGTGGTGGCGGACGGGAGCTTGAAGAAGAGGACGTAGTTGCACCAGATCTGGCCCGAGAGGTAGTCCAGCGTGGAGAGGGGGAAGATTTCTTCTTCTGGGTCTGATTCCCAGTTGGTAGGGTGGAGGTGGTGCACTTCTACCCTCGCCATGGTTGATGGTAGTGTAGTATCCTTACACGAAGATGTGACAGTGTAGGAGATATGTGAGAGAGCAAGAGAGAATGCTTCTTCTTGGGGGGAATCAAAGAATCGAGGAGAGCAATGGATTCTTGTCTACATCCTTCAGACATCCTACTTACACGTCGGCCTCGAGGGAGTCATATATGGTTCTCACCTCGGGGATGGGAACCAAATTCCTTCCCGTCAGATGGCTGCCTTCCTTCCTCGCCCCTCCCCATCCTGCGCCGCCATCACCGTGGAGGCGGTGTTAGCATCAGTGCCAGTGACAGCGTTCCTCCGCCCATTCCCGGCACCATCATCGCTCGTCTTGGTCTAGATAGGATGTGATGTTTGGGGGCCATCACATCTTGGACTCCTCCTCCAAGTACCAGACTCTTCTTAGTGGTAGATATGCGTTTGCCGTAAACGGTAACTGCGTCGTTGCGTGAACGAACGGGAGGAGCGCCTCTACCCCCGGCCACCCTCCTCCCCCATGCCACATCCACATGGTCCAGCCAGCCACGGCGCGGCACCAGGCGTATCTTAGCGGAGTCCCATCACAAACCTTCGCAGGTTCGGTAATTCGGGGAAGAGGCCTATCTCAAAAGTGGCCTCAAGCGAGAAGAAGACACATGAGCTGAGGCAGGTAGGTAGGTAGTCAGGATTTGGGGGTCTGTGACTCAAGGTGCGTGTGAGGCGTATGTATGGTGGAGGTGGAGGGTCCTTCCGTACGGCTCAGCCGATGAAGAACAAAAGGACGGCCGAGAGAACTTGCGCCGTTGCGAAGCAGGAAACCAGTGGCCAGGAGGATCCAGGTACCTTCTCGAAAAGAAGGCAATCATACCGAGAATGCAGAATGTGTGTGGGTTTTGGGGTTGGGCCTACACTCTTTACGGACGTAATTATCGTTTTTGGGCTATCTCGCACGCAAGAAAAAACGCTGTTGGTTCCTCGTCACAACGCCAATTGGCTTGGAAAGCCTCATCCTCCTGCGAGAATCACAGAAATGTCGAGATGGCCGCCGTGGAGCCCCATTGGTCGCAAGGCTGCGTTACACACACCCTTCCCTGCCCTCCATCCATCCCCCTGCCACAGCCAGCGCGCGGGTGTGGAGGCGGTGATGGAACAGGTGCCTAGCTCCGGATTCCACTGCGGCACGACTCTCTTGGGTTTTTTGATAGAGCGGAAGGCTATTGAGAGAGAGGCCTTGGTGGTAGGGTGGGATGGGGAGTGCATTTTCCTAATGAGGAAACACACGAAGCAGTCCCCTCTCGTTCATAGGCAGGAATGGCACTGCGAATGATTCCTCAGCTAACTTGACCCTTGCGATGAGGATGAGAAAGATGGAGGAGTGGGGTTTCGCTCGCCGGGGTCTGATTCCCAAATTCCCACAACCACCATGCGCCTTTTCCCCGTTGACATCGTCCTGACGCCTGGGCTACCGGCCGGGGGAACCGTTTTCGCTGCCTGCCGGTGCTGCGGCTCAAGCCATCTTTTGACAGCGCCGAGCCGAAAAAAAACAGAAGTCGATAAATGAGGCTTGCTGGGGGGGGGGCCGTTTCCGGTGAGTGTGAGTGCACGTGGGGAACACTGTTGCGCCCAGAAACAGAGAGCGGATGAGTGAGAAAGCGGATGACGAGCGCATGCCCGAGAAATGTTCATTGGCAGCGAGGCGATGCTGCCGCTGAAGAAGGAATCGGGTCCCTACCTTACCCCTCCCCTCCTCCGCCTCCCTGTCGACAATCAATAACGGCTCCATCCCGACTCACCGGCCGCTCAGCCTTACGAGGACCTGGCGAGCGCTTGTGGTGTGTAGTGAGTGGTGTGCGGCCCTCGGCGTCCTCATTGGCTTCGTCGGGGTCATCATTCCTTCCTTCAAATGTCGCGGGCACGTCTCCGTGTCGCTTGGCTTTCCGCGCCTCTTGCGCCGCTTCGGTTTGCCTAAACGGGGGATTTCGCCTATCGCCGCGCGGGCGGGGGGGAGGCGGAATGATGAGATAAAGACATTGTCTCAAGAGCCGTGGGCTAGCGATGCCGCAGAGGCACGGAGAGGCACGGCAGACCGGTGGAAAGTCCGACGGCGGGAGAGAACAAAAAGTGTCGCTGCCTCTCTCCGGCCCTTGGACTTTCGGCCGTGACAGACGCAGACAGATGATGTCGCTATCAGCCTAGCGGTGCCTGGAATATCCAGTTCGGTGGAATCCTGTAGTAAGCTGACGTAGGGTTCCAATGTCACACACTCTGGTCTTTTTCTGGGTCATTCCCAGCGGCCGATCACCACCCACTCAGACTCGCTCCAGGCTTACAGTACTTTACCCAAGGCGGCGGTGCTGGGAATGGGGATGGTGGGATGCATCATGGAGGGGCCCGCCTGGACTGGCCAGGCAGCATCGCGCGTAGCTGCATCGAATCGCATGCATTTCTTTTCGCCCATCACGTTACACCAAGATCTTCCAGCTCCCAGGACTTTGGGAGAGAAGAAGGACGGTTTCCTTTGTTCTCTAGACACTGTAGAGAGAGAGACATGACTCTTCGCATCCCGCTTGATTGGAAAGCTCGTACAGAGTAGTGCTGACACCCCCTGATTTCCATCGCATCACACGTCCTTGGAATGCGACACTCAGCCTTACGAGACTCAGGGTCTCTCTGTCACTCTCTCGCTCATCCCTGGATCCCTGCTTTGGTTCAGTCATCATTGCTGACATCGCCACGGCAGGCTGCTTCAGGCACCTGGGCACAGGGTCGTAGAGATGGATTTCCTTCGCCTCAGTTCGTGATTCTAAAGTCGTCGGAACTCCGAAAGGGCAGTGTGATTGATCCTTCCGTGGTGTGCTGTAAAAAAAGAATTCGTGGTATCATTTCTATCTCATCCTAACAAGTTAATGTACGGCTCAGGCCACTTGCCCATCAGTAACGGCCGGTCTCCCAGGCGTCCGCCCACCGGCGCCAGAATCCTCAACTTGCGCTTCTCCTTGTCAATGTCGGCGACGTAGACGTAGCCCATGATGTTCGACGTCCGAATCGTCTCGGGGCTGTCCCTAACTGAGGCGTACACGACGGGCAGCGTCCAATGCGCCATTAGCTGGGACGAGTCCACCCGCGTGAGGCCGTCGTCCGCACCACCGTACGTAGAGTCTGCAAAGTGTCAGTTGAACCTTTGCATTACCGCCGGATCTTGAAGCAAACTCACTGTCGCCTAGGCGGTATATCGTCAGGCTATCAAAGTCGACTTGCTGCGTCGCAGGACTCAATGTCCGACCGACTGTGCCGAAAAAGTACTCCTTGATCGATGCCTCGCAGACTTGCTGCATGAAACCCTCATCTCTCTCGGCTACACCTTCGGACTTGTCCAGGAGCACAATGCTGTACGGTTCGCCCAGACTCGTCTTCTCGGATGCAAATCTCTTTTGGACTTCTGCATTCAACGAAGCCGATCCCAACACAAGGATGATGTTCGCTGGATGCCGTTAGCTCGATCCAAACCCCACCTCGCGTGATATTTCTTCTTTGCATACCTGACAACTCCTCCACAACATGAGCAAACAAATCCAAGCCAGAGGTGCTCTTCTCACTGATCCCAAACGTATCGATAATCATCCCCGCGCTCTTAGCCTCGGGATCCTGCGCGAAACGCGAGGTAACAGTAGCCGCCATCTTGCTGACGAGCTGCTTATATTTCCTCGGATCCTCCTCCGCCCTCGCGTGTCCGTAGTAGTAGACCAGCGGCAGCTTGACCGGCACCTGACTCGGCCCGCTCGTCGGCGTGGTCCCCCACCCATCAACAGCCTCGACGTCCAGCACGCTCCCCACAACGGCGGCGCTCAGCGTCCCCGGCAGGCTCAGCATGCCCTCCTTGGGGTCCGTGTTCACCACGATCGGCTGCGCGCCGACCCTCGTCGCGTAGCTCGCCAGCGTCCTGCACAACGTCGTCTTGCCCGCCGTCGGGGCGCCGCAGACGGCGATGCGGGGGCCCTCGCGGCGCTCGGCGGCGGCGCGCTGGCGCATGGCGGTGAGCTGGAAGTGCAGGTTCAGGTACGCGTTCGCGGGGTTGTCTTGCGGCTGGTGATACTCGGCGAGGAACTCGGCGGCGGGGCTGCTGCCCTCGATCTCGAACTCGCATCCTTGCAGCGTGAGGATCTTGGATTTCGTGCCGGAGAAGGTGTAGAGATGGTGCAGGGCCAGCTCGGTGCCGTCCTTCTCTGCGGTGCCGGAGAGGAGTTTGAAGGTGAGGTCGGTGCCGAAGGAGACTTCGAAGCGCCATTCCCAAAAGGGCTGGAGTCTGATTGTGCGGGTTTGGGATGCGTTGGCCGGCTGCTGTTCGTGGTGTTGCCTCCGTCAGTATGGGTTCGTGCCTTTGTATTCAGGCTTTAGAGAGGGTGTGTGAAAAGGGACCGTACCGGCGCTGCCAGCTGGCCCAGACCCGGAATCGACATGCTGGACTATCTGACGGTCATCGAGGGGATGCTGGTATTAGCTGTGGTGGTCGTCGGTGACGGAGCGGTTTCGACGTGCAAGGTGCAAGTTGGATGGAGAATCAACGAGTCGCGTGGAACTGTTCTGGACGCACCCACACACTGCTGGGAGCTGCTTGACATCACAAGTTTCCTTTCAGGCTGGCCCGTGCGGGAGCTTCAGCGGGGGTTTATTTGGCGGGGCTCCTCCGATTTTCAGGGCGCTAGCGTTCCTGCATCAGCGCATTCTCTGTAGTCAAAGATAAGATAAGACTCCGTACCTGAGATATCACTCCTATAGGTATCTTGACATAACATCCCAGCCAACAATACCAACTCAAAGTAAGTCAATGACTGGTGACGGGCAAAATCCAATCCACTGAATCGCAGCAAAAGTCTAGAATCCAGCACATCTCCAAGGGTGCACCCTCGCTCCCGCGTCAAGCAGCTCGGAAAGCTCCGTCTCGGTCTCACATTCCCCCGCGCCAACCAATCATAGCGCCTCTCACCTGCGTCTCTTTGCCAATTACGCAAGCCCCCACGTCCCCTCCAAGCTCCGCCACGCCCACCGGTTCCTCGCTGCCTGGCCTGCCTTGCCTTGCCTCCTCAGTGGCGCTCTGCGACCGGCCATATGCGCTGCTCACCTGCTGACCTTGCGACGGCCACTCGGACGCCGGAGGCCCCAGACGTCACCTTACCTACCTTATTTCGCCCGCGCCTCCGAACCCTTTATCGCCTTCGCAAACTCCGCGCAGACTCTCGAATACAACATACAACCTTCAACAACACCAAATCTTCACACCACATCTCGAAAGACAGTTGCGAACGTCTGAAATGTGTTCCGCAGACATCTTCCTCGGCCTCTTGGCCCTGCTCTTCCCCCCTCTACCCGGTACGTTTTCTCCCCGCATCAGACGATGCTTGCACCAGAGGAACAGCTAGCTAACAATGAATCTGCAGTCTGGGTGAAGCGCGGCATCTGCTCCGCCGACTCCATGATCAACATCCTCCTCTGCCTCCTCGGCTACGTACGTCTTCAATCCTCCCAATCACCCAACTCCCCCGAAACTAACACCCCGTCCCAGATCCCCGGCCTCATCCACGCCTGGTACATCATCGCCAAGTTCCCCGAGCCAGACTACGAGTACGAGTCCGTTCCCCAGCAGGACCGCGAGGGCGGCCGCGTGACGTACGTCTTCGTCCACGGCAACGGCAACGGAAACGCCCCGCACACCCGCCAGCCCCAGCAGCAGCCGCGGCCCTCGCACCACCAGCAGGGCGCCAACGTCACCTACGGCACCACGAACAACAACAACGCCGGCGGCTCCAGACAGCAGCCCCAGGGCGGCGCCGGCGAGGGCAGCAGCGACGGCGCCGTGCCGCCCAGCTACGCCCAGGCCGTTGCGGGCGACAACAAGATTCAGACGAGAGATTAGAGGCGCTCGGTCGTGGACACTAGACGCAGGGTGTTGGTCTATACATCTGCTGGCTGCATCCGTCACTGTTTCTTGGGTTTGAAGCGTCGAATGTGGGGTGTCCTGGACATGTCATAGACGGGCTGACTTGTGTAAATTGATCTCGAGTTTTGAAGGTGGGGTGGACTTTCTTGGTGAAACTTCTCCGCCGGGTTTTTGGCGTTATGGATTTATGAGTTATCACGCTGTGTACGAGTTATGGATTTTAATACACTGCAAGCAATGGCTGCATCGCTTCTTTCGTCTTCATCCTGAATATCGCCGTCGTCAGTTAATTGATGGGGTATCTAGATAGTCCCTGAACGCCACCCATGCAACCCTGTTGTAAGTTTTGATTTTCCCCAGTACCATGCTTCCATCCTTTTGTCCATTTCCCGTCCCTGGCTATATCATAGAGTTCTCCTCCAGTCAGTGACATGTAGACAGCCTACTCGTCGGACAAGCTCTTGTCGAACGAGTCATTGTAATCCTCGGCGTTGGGGTTCTTCACCGTCGGAGCAGGTCGATCATTCTCAACGGGCTCCTTGAAGTGCGTCATGAGGTTCTGGGGGAGGTACGTGTGCCACGATACCAGAACAGCCTTGACCTGCTTGATGAACGACACGCCATTGTTGAGATGGACAACGCACAGCTGCAGCTTGAAGCCGGGCATCATGCGAGCCAGGATGTCGTCATCCACAAGGAAAGTGTGAGTTTCGTCGTCGGACGCGTCTGCGTAGTTTCCATGATCATAGCCATCCTCAATGATGCATGGCTTAAGCACAAGCTTGCCCATGGGGGCGAATCCGTTAGGCATGCCTCCGTTGGTTCGAACGCCAGCGATAATTTCGCGGACAGAGGAGCTGGCGCGGTGAATGTTGACTACCTCCATGCTGATTTCTTCCTCGTAGATCATCTTGACCTTGCTCGTCTTGGGATTGTTGACCGCATGGATCAGAGACGTTGCCTTGGTCTTGTCGACGCCCATGCAGATCATGCCGACTCCCATCGCCAGCTTCACCACCGCAGTAGGGTCAAAGTCCTTGGGGCGGGCGAACCCAGCGGTGTCGTCGTCATGGATGTAGTCGAAACCCTCGCAAAACAGCTCAGACAGCGCCAGGTTGAACTGTCCGGGGAAGTGGATGAGAGCCTGGTGCGCCAGAGGCAGATCGATCTTGGCCAAGTTGCAAAGGGCCATGGCCTCCTTGATGTTGGCGGTGTACTCGGGGCAGACATCGTGCTGCAGGATGTAGGTAAGGAAGTTCTCAATGATTCCGATCGCCTTGCCCATTCGCAAGTAGTCCCAGTTAGCCATGGCAGGAAGGTTCTCCGACAAGAAGCCCGCGGCCACGCCGGCGAAGTCGACGTCCCAGCCCTCAGGCTCATCTGCGTTGTAGAAGCGGCTGCCACCGCCGGAGGTGTAGACGACGTCAGTTGCGGTTGCAGTTCGGCGCTCGTCGGGGGTCATGCCCTCGGTATCTGCGTCGATGTTGCCGCCGAACAGGCGGGGTGAGGTGTCAACGCCGCCGAGAAAGAGGTATTGGTTGAACAGCTGGGTTGGCTCGGTGCCGGTGATGCGGCGACGGGAGCGGAAGCGCTGGATGCATGACTGGATGCGGCTGTTGCGTTTGTCAGAAGTCACAACGTCAAGAGTTCCCGTCCAGGAAGGTGCTGAGGATGATTCTTACTCGACGAAGGGTATAAGACTGAGAATGATTAGTATGAGGTCCGAAACGGAAGTATTCGAGGATACTCACGGGGTGTAGATGTTTTCTCTTTCCTCCTTAGCCTCGGCAGGTGTCATGGGGGGATCGGCAAAATACTCTGGAAACAGTCAGCCGTAGTAATACTGGTGGTGATATTCGGAACAGCAATTACCCTCAAATCCGGTGCCACGGGATTTGGGAAGAGCCGTAGGCCCGCGGCTAACCGTGGTCTTGCCGCCCATGGTGAAGGTTGGCTGTTGGTGGGTGGTGTGGGTTGGAGAAGTTGGACCGTTCGATGACCTAGAAGTCCCTTTTGTAGGTGACTGCTCAAAGAAGCTCGAGGTGAAGTGGAGGATACCAGAGGATCCTGTCGTTAAGTAAAGATCACGGACAATGAAGCCAGAATTTAAGAACTAGAAGGAAGTCGCGTATATCTGCGCACTTTCCTTACCAACTTTAGGCAAGGTAAGAAGCAAACCTGACTCGGGGGAGCGACTTCCTAACGAAGTCTTGATTCTTTTGCAAGTTATTCTACTAATAAGATGAAGAGCTTAAGAAAGTCCATAGACTGATATCACGATGGTAAACCACATACGGCTTTTCCGTTTGCCAAGAATCTGTAGCGAACCACACTGGCAAGCAACAAGCATGCCAGTGAGTGCGGTTTTGACGTTGTCTGAAAACACCAGTCGAAAGTTTCCCGCATCTCTACGTTGTAGCAAATGCCAAACGGGAATTTCGGTGTTGGTCGTAGATCGGACCCAAGGCTTCCATCTTGGGATTTCATGCGATCCAATCGCATCGTGGCTTCCCACTATCGGGTGTAAGTGATCGCCAGGCAAACGCTCGCAGCAATCCAATGAAAACCAGCAGCATGGGATTCGCTTAGGAGGCACAGATGCAGGTTTCTTGAGATATTGGAAGTTTGTGGGACGCGACGGGAAGAAAGCGAGCTGCAGTCTGCAAGACGGCTTTGCCAACTCATTCCTGAGGCGGAAGCTGGGGCGGAGTCTCTGGTGCGGTGCAGATGGATGCACTTCGTAACGCGCCGCAGGAGTGGATGACGGCTGACGAAGGCGCGCAGCACGCCAGGCAGCTCACCTGGCTCGCATACGCAAGAAAATCCATGGCTGAACTGCTAGATCCTCTGGCGGGCTGTCCATCACTTGATGTGGGAGTCGTTGCCGATGGCGGTGAGAAGAGAATTCCCATTCACGGCCTGCTTCTAGAACCATCAGAGATCACTGCGATGGTCCAATAGAGTTTTTTCGGTCATCTTGGAAGTGGCGATGAAACGCACTGCGGATAGTGTCGCGATACACCTGTCCAACGTGCTTCTCGTCCCAGAATCCGGCGAAAGCGAAGCTGGACAGTAACGTTTCGTCGACAAAAGTCGCCGTCTCGAGATTCCCCGTCATCGATCGCATGCGGTCATGCCACCATCGACGAATGACCAAGAGCAAGGGAAAGTGGGAGAGTGGAAGGCACCTCGGATAGGCTCTGTTCTGCGTCAGATCGTGGCCGGCTGAGCGTGTTTGTCGACGGTATCATTGGGTCTGACGCATCACCTGCAGGCTGCACATCACCACCCTACGTATCTGTATCCTTCCTTGGAGTCCGAACAGGGCGCTTTCGACACCCCTGGCGATCTCTCGTTTGCGAAAGCATCCTTATGTACTAATGTCCTTGAAATTTCAGAAGATGTCGACTTAGGCGGGGCAAGGTTGAGTAAGGCACCTTGGTAGACTGTCGATGCAACGCAATAATAAGAATTAGAGTATTCCGACTCGGCCGACAGCGAAAGCGAACTGCGGCTTTCAACGTTGGGTTATTTGCCCCATTGCTCAGGGAGTGGCTCTCGAGCCACTCCCCGAGAGTCGGAGGCCAATGGTTCACCTCTGCGAGAGCGTGTGCGCCTTGGACACGAATCAACAAGGGCCAACAGCTGGACAAGGCGGACTGGGAGGAGAACCGGAGAGAGGATCGACAGGGCAGCTGAGCGAACGAGGGGTCGAAGAGGAGGTCGAGAGCTCGCGCGAGTAAGACGTAACGAGGTTCGCTGGTGGCTGAGTGACATCCGCCACCTTTTTTTTTTCTCTTGCCTCTGCACGACCGCTTGAACAGGCCGCAGTGGAAAAAGCGCGGGAGGGAGGCACAGAAACGAGGGACGCGTCGGACAGGGGTCTCCAGAAAAATAGCGTCGTTTCGCAGGCGGAGATCCCTGGGAGAAGGTGGGAAAGAACGCTTGTGCCCCCCTCTTGCTCCCTCCCTCAGGGCTCCTTCCCTGCCACCCTCCCGCGGCCACGCCTGGCGGTTACTGGCTGGGCCAGGAACACTGGAGGAGGCCCTGAGGCGGTTGGGCAGGTGGGTGAGGTGAGGGTGATGCCGCCCACACGCCGCCTGCGCAGAAGCGCGCATGCGCGGGCATCCATCAAATCTGAAGCAGTTCCACACGTTTATTGGCAGCTGCGACCAGAGTCACAGCGGTGTCCACTGTAAAAGTAACTTGGGGACGCTTAAAGTGCCCTGCAGCAGTTGTATCTGCAATGCGGAGCGCAATCAATCAGACCCAGCCCAAATGCCATTTTCATTTTCCCTCGAATTCCCGGCCAGCTTCCATCGATCCCTCCATCCATCGTGACTACGCCTCGTTCTCTCTCTGTCCCTAGTCTTCTCCCTCTCTCTCAGATAACCTTGTCCCCGTCTTGCTGCACCTTAAAGATCCCCCCTCCCTCCTCGTCCTCGTCTCGTCTGTTCAGACTGTCGATCCGCTCCTCCTGTGCCTCGTTTCGCTCCCGTCGCCAAGCCTTCACACTGCCGTTTGCCGGAAACTGATTTCTTGGACATTTGCTCTGTGCATTTTGCCCCCAAATCCTTTCCATTGCACGCCGTTGCTGCTGCCGCTGCCGCTTGCAACAAATCCGATACAAATCAGCCCGCTACCCCAACTTCTACCTGCGCGCGCGCGAGACAATCCTAGGATCCCCCCTGACTACCTTTGAGGTTGACTCGACTTCGACTTTGAACACCACTCTTTTTTGTTTTCCAACCTTCGTCAACAGCGCAGACACAATGGGCAAGAAGGCGCTTCCCACAAAAGCCGAGCTCGTCGACTACGGTCACACCGTTGCTGGACAGTGAGTCGCCATAATGCTGCCCCTATTCGCGATTCACCATGCGCCGGCTGGGCAACATCACTTGGGACGTGTCTCTAACGTTGCCTCGAATGTAGTGCAGGAACCATGTGCGACGAGTCTGGCGAGCTCTTCATCAAGCCTTGCACGACCGCAGAGGTCGACTTCTACAACTCCGCCAACGAAGCACACCCAGAATTCGCCGAGCTGATGCCCTTGTACATGGGCACCCTCCAGCTCAACGACAGCGCAGAGCTCAGCTCCATTGAAGACGGTGCCCCTGGCCCCGTCGCGACACAAGCCGCCAAAGAGGAACTGACACAGGCTGTCACCGGTGAGGCTCCCGCCGAGCAGGACAAGGACAAGTGGGTGCAGAACAAGTCAAAGAAGATCAAGACGGACCAGGCTATCGTGCTCGAGAACTCGGGAGCTGGCTTCACCTCTCCCAACATCCTCGACGTCAAGCTCGGTGTGCGCCTGTGGGCCGACGATGCCCCTGCTGAGAAGAAGAAGCGCTTCGACGACATCACCTCCAAGACCACCCACGGTCCCCTGGGCTTCAGAATCGCCGGCATGAAGGTCTACCGCGGGTCCTCCATGAAGTCTGAGCTGGATGCCGAGGACTACAAGATCTATGACAAGGACTACGGCCGCATCCACGTCAACGCCGACAACATTGTCGAGAACTTCCGCAAGTTCATCTTCAACAAGACCGCCGGTATCGACGACGACCTTGGCAACGCCGTCGCTCAGGTCTTCTTGCGCGACCTGCGCAACGTTGAGCGCGTCCTCGCCGCCGAAGAGAGTCGCATGTACTCTGCCAGTCTGCTGTTCGTCTTTGAGGGTGACGGCGACAAGTTGAAGGAAGCCATCGCGCAGAACAACGCGGCCGCCGACAGCTACGAGGCCGCGCAGGGCAAGAAGCCCAGTGGAAATGCGGCCAGAGTGGACAGTGGTATTGAGCTGATTGAGGGAGACGCGAACCTCGATGCCGAAGACGACGATGACGAGGACGACGGCCCTGCCCTGCCCAAGATCTACTCGCTGAAGCTCATCGACTTTGCCCATGCGCAGTGGGTGCCTGGCCAGGGCCCTGACGAGAACGTCCTCAAGGGCGTACGAAGCCTGATTGACATTTTCGAGAAGCTGGTGCAATAAGACACCGATCCTCACGATACGTTTTGGTTCGATAGAACACGGGAGCAGAGAGGCACGACGGACCCAGCTCACGTGGCGCGACACAAAAGTTTTACTGTTCATGATTTGTGCGATCAAGAGGACCATCAGCAGGCATCAGACGAGCACGGTTTGCTCGCAATCAAAATACCCAAATACAGTTGCGCGGATATGAGTGCGAATAGAAGTCGCTCCTCAGTGGACAGTAGGCTAGCATCCATGATAATGACCCAAGGATATCATTACACCCGGCGTCGGGGTCTCTTTCAATACCACATAGCATACGTTTCCATTCGCCTTATGTCTTTGTCGATGTGCTCGATTGTATGATCTCTGGCAGGCAGGGAAGCTTAAAGTTACCTGACATCACCGATGGACCTGCATGAAGCCAATGCAGGATGCAGATGAACGGACGGCCATCTCGTTAGGTCGCGGGAAACCCCACATGGACCAAAGCAACGGGGAGGTTACTCTAGTTGCTCGACCTATGTAGAGACGGGGGTGACATGGTGGGATTTCAAACGGCAAGTATTCAAAGTGCTTTTGAAGCTTGAAGGGATATGTTCCTCAGAAGTCGATAACTTTAGAGTTCTTTAAATTGCAGCATATCAGTGTTCAAACAACCATGACTAAAGGGCTAGTGCGACCACGCAAAGATTCACATGCAGAATCTTGACTCTTTTATTCCGGCAGTGGATATCTTCAACTCTCCACATCTGCAGCTGTTGGCAAGGTACTTGGAGTACTTCTGCAGTTTTGCTGAAAGCCGCTGAGAAACCGGGTCCGTGCCCCAGGTGCTGCCGGAACGCGGCGGCTATTTCCTCCGACAACGCCAGTCAGCCAATCCGTCATGCCTCCCGGCGTCGCGCAGCGTGTAACTAAGCTGGGAACTTTTTTGAGGCCTGAGTGACCATCAACGAGGTCCTGGCAACTGCTCTTTTTCTCCACAACAATATCGCGACGATGGATGACCTTTTGAATCTCGAGCTCTTGTCGCTCGTTTCCAAGGTCACCTCCGAGCTGCAGAACCATTTAGGCGTCTCCGACAAGACCCTCGCCGAGTTCATCATCGCCCAGCGAGTCGACGCCGAGGACTACGATGCCTTCAAGAAGAAGCTCGCCGCCATCGGCGCCGAGTTCCCCCCGAGTCTAGTCGACAGCGTCGACCGCCTCGTGCTCACGATGCACCCGAAGCTCAAGGGCAAGGCGCAAAAGAACGGCGACAGCAGCGAGGACCACCACCACCGCAGCGCGGAAGAGAACCAGCAGATCTTCAAGGGCCTCGCGGTTCCCGACAAGGCCGTCGCGTACGACAGCATCGGCGACGGCGACGCGATCGACGATACACTGGCGCTGCTGGAGGGGCTGGAGGGCAAGGCCCGGGGCGAGAAGGTGTCTTCGCGCAAACGCAGTCGCAGTCCGAACGATGGTCGGGAGTCGAGGCGGAAGAGGAGGGATCGATCGAGGTCGAGGGACCGCAGGAAACGAGACAAGTACCGGTCGCGGTCGAGATCTGTCGACGACTACGAGAACGGGCCCTCCCTGAAGCAACGCAGGGGAAGGCGCAACTACGACGACGAAGACGACAGCCGCTTTAGGAGAGCTCCAGAACCCGAGGTCGACGATGCGCCACAACTTCACAAGGTTTACAGTGGTCATGTCACTGGCATCAAGGACTTTGGCGCGTTCGTCAACCTGCATGGCGTGCGTGGCAAGGTGGATGGCTTGGTGCATATCTCGAGACTGGTCGAGGGCCAGCGTGTGAACCACCCCTCCGACCTGTTGACGAGGGGCCAGGATGTCAAGGTCAAGGTTGTCAACATTGAGGGCAACAGGATAGGGCTGTCGATGAAGGAGGTCGACCAAGAAACCGGCATGGACCTCCATCCACAGGACAGGATATCGTCAGGCGCAAACATGGAGGCTCTTGGCGGTGGCCGGGATGGAAACATGTTCGACAACGGAGTTATGCCACCGCCACAACACCAGGCCGGACAGCGCCGGCAAAAGAAGCGGATGACATCGCCTGAGCGATGGGAGATCCGCCAGCTGATTGCTTCGGGTGTTGCGAAGGCTTCGGATTACCCTGACTTGGAAGAGGACTACAATGCGACACTTAGGGGAGAGGCCGAGCTGGAGCTGGAAGAGGATGTTGATATCGAAGTGCGCGAGGAGGAGCCGCCATTCCTGGCTGGTCAGACGAAGCAATCTCTCGAACTGTCGCCCATCCGAGTCGTGAAAGCGCCTGATGGGTCGATGAACCGTGCTGCGATGTCGGGCACAGCGCTGGCCAAGGAGAGAAAGGAGCTGAAACAGCAAGAAGCGGAAGCTGCGGCGGCAGAGGAATCCAAGGTCGATCTCTCCGCTCAGTGGAACGACCCCATGGCGGACCCCGACAAGCGCAAGTTCGCCAGCGATCTACGCAACGCCAAGTCGCAGATGAATCAGAACAAGCCCGACGCCGTGCCGGAGTGGAAGCGTGCTGTAGCACCCAAGGACCAATCCTTCGGCAGGCGGACAAACTTGAGCATCAAGGAGCAGAGAGAGACGCTTCCAGTGTATGCTTTCAGGCAAAAGTTCTTGGATGCCGTCCGGGACCACCAGGTTATGGTCGTCATTGGAGAGACTGGCTCAGGCAAAACGACTCAGCTTACGCAGTATCTTGCAGAAGATGGCTTCGCCAACAACGGTGTCATCGGCTGCACCCAGCCTCGTCGTGTGGCGGCCATGTCCGTTGCGAAGCGTGTAGCCGAGGAAGTCGGCACACCGCTGGGTGAGGCCGTTGGTTACACCATCAGATTCGAGGACCGTACTAGTCCTGCGACCAAGATCAAGTATATGACGGATGGTATGCTTCAGCGTGAGATTCTGGTGGACCCGGATCTGAAGCGGTACTCGGTCATTATGCTGGACGAGGCTCACGAACGTACCATCTCTACGGACGTGTTGTTTGCGCTGTTGAAGAAGACGATGAAGCGCCGCAAGGACCTGAAGGTGATCGCCACCTCGGCAACCCTGGATGCGGACAAATTCTCATCCTACTTCGACGGCTGCCCTATTTTCACTATTCCGGGTCGAACGTTCCCTGTCGAGGTCCTCTACTCTCGCGAGCCAGAATCTGACTACCTGGACGCCGCACTGGTCACCGTCATGCAGATTCACCTGACAGAACCTCCCGGAGATATCCTATTGTTCTTGACAGGCCAGGAAGAGATTGACACGTCATGCGAGATTTTATACGAGCGCATGAAAGCTCTAGGGCCAAATGTCCCAGAGCTCATCATCCTGCCCGTGTATTCCGCCCTTCCGAACGAAATGCAGAGTCGCATTTTCGACCCTGCGCCGCCTGGCTGCCGAAAGGTAGTCATCGCAACCAATATCGCCGAAACCTCCATCACCATTGACAATATTTACTTCGTTGTCGATCCCGGCTTCGTCAAGCAAAACGCCTATGATCCTAAGTTGGGTATGGACTCCTTGGTCGTCACGCCTATCTCCCAGGCACAAGCAAACCAGCGTGCCGGACGAGCCGGTCGTACGGGACCTGGAAAGTGTTTCCGTCTGTATACCGAAGCCGCGTATCAATCTGAGATGCTGCCTACAACCATTCCCGAGATCCAGCGTCAAAACCTGTCCCACGTTATTCTTATGCTCAAGGCCATGGGCATCAACGACCTGCTGCACTTCGACTTCATGGATCCTCCCCCAATTAACACAATGCTTACGGCACTCGAAGAACTCTACGCTCTCAGCGCTCTCGACGACGAAGGCCTGCTGACCCGTCTCGGTCGAAAAATGGCAGACTTCCCCATGGAGCCATCCCTGGCAAAGGTCCTCATCATCTCCGTCGACATGCACTGCTCAGCGGAAATGCTCATCATCGTCGCCATGCTCAACCTCCCCAACGTCTTTTACCGTCCCAAGGAGAAACAATCCCAGGCGGACCAGAAGAAGGCAAAGTTCCACGATCCCCACGGCGACCACCTCACCCTCCTCAACGTCTACAACTCATGGAAGCAGAGCGGCTACTCGGCGCCGTGGTGCTTCGAGAACTTCATCCAGGCGCGCTCCATGAAGCGCGCCAAGGACGTGCACGACCAGCTCGTCAAGATCATGGACCGCTACCGCCACCCCGTCGCATCCTGTGGGCGCAACACGCAGATCGTGCGGCAGGCGCTCTGCTCGGGCTTCTTCCGCAACGCCGCGCGCAAGGACCCGCAGGAGGGCTACAAGACGCTCATCGAGGGCACGCCGGTGTACCTGCACCCGAGCTCGGCGCTGTTCGGCAAGCAGGCCGAGTGGGTCATCTACCACACGCTGGTGCTCACGACCAAGGAGTACATGCACTGCACGACGAGCATCGAGCCCAAGTGGCTCGTTGACGCGGCGCCGACGTTCTTCAAGGTCGCGCCGACGGACCGGCTGTCCAAGAGGAAGAAGGCGGAGAGGATCCAGCCGCTGCATAATAAGTACGCCGGCGAGGACGACTGGAGGCTCAGCGCGCAGAGGAAGGCTGGACGTGGCGGCGGCGGTGGCGGTACCTGGGGTTAATCATCCTGTCCTTTTCCCCTTTCCCGTTGCTGAGAGAAGGAAGGAGAGGGGAATGTGTGCGTGTAGATCGGATGGATTGGCGCTGTCTTCACATTGTTGTTATAGTTTAGAGAAATATACCCCCCACAGAGGCAAGACATGACGCGGCTATTTCTAGATGACGTTGTGACTCGACGACCGTGAAGATTTGTCAATGCCCAGACTTTTTGGGACAGCTCTACCAGTAAGTAAGCATTTGCAGCCAAGAGGGGCAGGCATTGCTTGTGTTCTTGGGCATGTTGATCGGGAAGCGACAGAGCAGGCCAAAACCTCGGGAGGCCGGCAGACGAACGAGCCAAGACGGCTGCGATGCGTGAGAAGGTCCGCCAAGGGCAGTCAAGTCAGCAAGCGAACGCAAGCGAGGCATGGGAAGCCAAGTGGAAAGAAGGCCAGGGAGGGGGGGATTATAAGCATCTTTGGCGAGACGACTTGGCGTGTGGCAGGTTGTGTGTTGGATTGTGTATGCGTGTTGAGTACCGACGTCGAGGAGGGCTCGGCCGGGAAGGCAGTGACAGATCTTACGGACCGCGGAGAAGACGGCTGAGGGTTCGGACCCGCTGGCATAGATCTTGGCTTTTTCGAAGTTGTCTAGAATGCTGACGATGCGTACGATAGAGTCGGTCTTTAGGGATTAGAGTTTCTCGGTTGGCGATGACGAATGACTCGATGGTTTACAACGATGCAGCTGTAGGAGCTTTAGAAGAAAAGAACCCTGGTATCCCGGTCGACGATCAAATCGGATGGGTTCTCGAGAAGGAGGTCACTGCGTCGGACCTTATCAACGGTAGCCGCGCTGTCGACCTGTCAGATGTGTGGTTGGACGCTCGGGTTGTGGGGTGAGGGTAGTCGTGATACGTGAAGTGTTTGGGGATGGTGGGATTATGGGGGACGCGGATGTGTTTTAGGGGATTTTTTTTTTGTTTCCGTCTTACTGTTGAGGGCGCCAGGGAAAAATTAAAGATCACTTCGGGATAAAGCCGGTAGAGGGCGAATAAAACGTGGTAGAGCCCCCGGGCGCGCGGGCGGGATTGGGGTGAGCTTTTCTTCATGTTTGGTGTTGGGAAGGGGACGTCACGGATTTTTTAGAGTTGGTGATGCAGAGTTTGGATGACAGATGTCACGACTGCGCTTGAGTGTGTAAAGGGACAAAACATTGGACGAAAACCTACCGGCGACTATTTTCACAACGGCATTTACTTTATTCCTATCCTGCAAACCGCTGATTGCATGGTCCACCATCGACAATGACGCGCCGGAACAGCCTGGCGCTGCATCTCACGGCCCTCGCCGCGCTCTCCTCCGTCGCGCAGCTGCCCATCCTCGTCGGGGCCGAGGACCTCGACGCGGAGGACGTGCCGCCCGAGTGCGTGCCAGTCTGCGCGTCGATCGTGGCGCTCACGGCGCGGTGCGAGGCGCAGACGAAGCAGCGGTTCGGGGACATTGACAAGCGGCTTCTCCACGACGGAACGGTGGACTTTGAGGCGCGGCGCAGACACGTTTTGGCGCCGGAGAGGGTGCGGAGGAGGAGGCAACGACTGGAGGAGAGGATGCGGAGGCGGCAGGTGCAGTCGGACAGCGACTCCGACTCGAGCGGCGACGAGGCGCCGCCGCAGGTTGTGGCGGCGGCGGAAAGGGAGGAGAAGGAGTGCGTGTGTCAGGATACGTCGTTTGATGTGTTTGGAGCGATGAATGGGTGCGCGGGATGTATTGCGGCGAATGTGACGGCCGTGGAGGCGAATGAAGGTGAGTTTGCCTGGTTGAGGGAGGGTGTTGATGCAGAGGCTGACTTGGGAGGTAGATATCAGGGAGATCATGGCCGACTGCGGGTTTGCTCCTCCACCGCCTCCGGCCACTTCTTCTTTGTTTACTACGACAACGACAACATCACCACCGCCGGCGATTCTTACGGACCCTCCGGCCGCGAACCCAGCCCAGGGCGGATTCTCGACGTTAGTGCCCCCGGCATTAGCGCCCGCGGGACCGTCTACGTCCTCGACTTCATCAACATCCTCAACGGCACCACCACCACCACCGCCGCCACAAGATGCCCCGACCTCAACGCAACCACCGCCTGCTGCCGCGACGACGCCGGAGCCAGAGGTCACGCCGACGGTGGAGAGCTCGACCACGCCCGTGACGGTGTTCGAGACGCCTTCTTTCAGGACGCTGCCTAGTCTCGTGCTGCCCAACGACTTTGCGGCGGCCAGGGGCGGCGATCGGACGGGCAGTGGCGCGGCGACGCTGGGGAGGCACTGGGTTGGTAAGGCTGCGGTTGCCTTGGTGCTGGTTTGGGCTCTTATTTGAGGGAGGCTTTTGGTTTTAAGCGAGCGTGTTGTACTTTTTGTATGAGATACCTAGTACTATTGTGATACCCTTAAGTATCTAAGGTAGCTTTACGCTTAGAAGAAAGTATATACTAACTTACCTCTAACTTACTTTTCTAACCTAATAATATTCTAACTAATTAATCTCTATTTTTTTCATAAAAATACTATGCATATTATACTTAGTTTATAACAATTAATTATAACTATATACTATGTTCCATTTGCTTAGGTCGCTATGAATGAATGTCTAGCCTCCACCGATAAATTAGGACCTGAGCTGCTGCCTGCATCCCTGCGGCGGTCCTCTTAAGTGTCGATCCTCCCGCCAAAGCAGTTACCACTCCCTGATGCCCGCCCATCTTACTCAGACATCGACACTTGACAAAATTCTACACAGATGACCACTATGCCTGTTCGCAGCTTTATCGCCAAAGGTAGCGAGCGTCGTGCTGTCGACAAGCACAGTCTACCCAGTCTCGTGCTGCCTCTTGTACTGCTGGGGCTTGGCACTGCCTGGATCCTCTTCGTCAACTCCGACCCCAGTGTCAGCGCCGTCTTCACCAAATGTTTCCCACTTGCTGACGGTGATGGGGCAGGCGATGGTAGCGATGGTGAGACGACGACGCCCTTCCTCGCCACTATCCCCATCGTCGGCCCACCCGTTTGCTGCCTCGTCTCCTTCTTTCGCGCCGCGCTCGACTCCCACCGCTCTGCCATCATCATGGGCGAGATCCTCTCATATGTCGGCGCCCTCCTGACGGTGACCACACTCGAATCCGCTCGGGCATGCAATCAGTCATCCTCGCTCATCCGCAATCCGACTCCGTCCTGGCTGCTTTTCAACCTTGCGGGCGGCGCTGTTGTCTGGCAACTCGTCATCATTCCCACATTTCTATCGCACGAGAGGAAGCGTCAGCGACAATCCTCGGAGGAGCAGCAGGCACTACTTGGACCACAGGGCCAGGAGCAGCAACAGCAGCATGAACACATGCACCGCCATCTGGACCCTGTCGAGCTGCCTGCCATCTCGGCCGGGGTGGTCCTGGGATACTTTGTCCCGTGCATGCTTTTTGTCCTCGCCCCGGGTACCGTCTCTATCCTGGCGTGGCTGTTCTTCCCCGCCTACAGCTCTGTTGTCCGCATTGCTGTGCGTGGGCTGCTCAGAGCCGCCAACCCACCTGGCGCTGTTGCAGGTAGCAACTTGCACCCAGAATCCAGCCGTGCTGCGATCCTCTGGCTATATCTAGTCCCTATGCTGTGGTCCGTGGTCGCACATTGGTTGCTTCTCTACAACATTGCTTTTGTCCCCGATGACAGATCACACACCACCAGGGCTGCCCTGGGTTTCATTATCGCGGACTTCACTGCCATCGGGCTGAGCGTGGCCTACTGGATGTTCGCAGAGGCTGGGTGGCGGCTTGCGGTTCTAAGTCTTGCAGCCGGTGCAGTTCTAGGCCCTGGTGCTGGACTCTGCTTGGCCTGGGTGCTGCGGGAGGGCATTATGGCTTCGACTGAGGGCAGACTTGGTAAGCAAAAGAGTTTTTGATTCTTCGAAGGGTTGCATCTAAAGTTCAACCGCGACTCCAATGAGAATGAGAGTATTCTTTCATCACCATGAAATATGGAAATCATGGCTGTGCCTGCATGTTTGTGTGCCTGATAGCTAACTCACTACAGTTCGTCGTGACTGACCGACGCACTCGCACCATCTGTCCGACCCTCCGCCATCCCCTCAATCTTAACCGCCGCCGGATGCACGCTTTGCGGGTTGGAAAATACATCCTCAGGGTCGTACTTGAGCTTGACCTGCTCCAACCGCGGCAGGTTTTTGCCCCAGTACCTCCTCTGCCCATTCTCCAGCTCTGGGTCGACGTAACCTGCATATACTCCGAATTCCTCACCCTTGGGATATCCCTTTTGGATCGTGTCTGCGATGCCACGAATGAATTTCTTGCTCGTGGGCGACACTCGACCCCAGTCAAGGCCAATTACGTAGCTCTGCATGTAGAACAGGGCGTCTCTGTGGGCATATGCCGTCGCATCGGGGGGTACGTCGTTGACGGCACCGCCCTCGAGGTCAAAGTACGCGAACCACAGCGGGCTGCCTTTGTGCGCGTCGTCAAAGTACTTGAACAGGTCGTCGATGGTGTCATCCGGGATGAGAGTCTGATTCGTGAAGGCCAGGGACTTGCAGTAGATGGGCGTCGGCTGCCCGGTGCCCAAGAGCAGCACAGCCTCATCTGCGAGGTGCGCCATGTGGCCCAGCCAGTCGTTGAGCACAAAGTACTCGTCCTTGCGGTTGTGCCGGCGGAAGAAATCATGCTCGGCCGCGAGTGACTCCCACTCCTCCTGCGTGCCATAGTATGTGCCCGACACAATCATCCCGAGCTGGTTCACAACAACCTGGCTAGCCAGCTTGCGCGGCAGCGCCGGGTCCGCTATCATACGCTGCCACGCCTTGAATTCATCGGCCATGTCGGCGTATTTATCGTCGTGGTGGAGCGCAAAAGAGTACTGCACGAGGTTGCCGGGCGCGGGCTCCGTGCGGACGACAAACTCAGTGATGATGCCAAAGCTAGCGCCGGCTCCCTTGAGCGCCCAGAACAGGTCCTTGTTCTCTGTCCACGAGGCGCGCGTGATGGTGCCGTCCGCGAGAACGACGATGACGGCCTCGACGTGGTCCAGCGCCGAGCCGAACTGGCGCGAGGTCGGACCCAGGCCGCCGATCGTGGCATGCCCGCCGATGCCGACAGACGGGCAGGTCCCATGGCTCATGGCCCGGCCGCCGTGCGAGTGCAGCTTCTTCGTCACGTCGCCGAGGCGAGTGCCCGCGCCGATGGTGGCGATATGGGTGTTCTCGTCCATGGAAAAGTGTTGGAACTTTTTGAGGTCGACGACTACCGCGCCGTCGTGTCCGCCGAGACCTGCTCACGAACCTCAGAGAGTAAGCATCGTGATTGTTTTCACAACATGGTTTCCCCAATCAGTAGCCACGCAGGCGAAGCATTGTGGAAAACTAGCATCAAAGGAATACCCCAAGCCTTCACTCACCGTAGTTACCAAAGCTATGCCCTCCGCTCTTGGGCTGTACCTTCAGACCCCTCTCCTGCGCGCAGGCCACTATAGCGGCTATCTGCTCGGCCGTCTCGGGCACCGTAACCACGGCGGGAGTCACATCAATGTCCAGATTCCAACGCTTGACCTTGAGAAGCGAGTACAGCGGGTGGCTTGGGAAAGCGTAGTCCTGGATACCAGCCCCGTCAAGACACTCGCGAAGTGATGGCGGAGTGGAAGATGCTGCTCCTGTTCCTGCCCCCGCCAGGGCTGTGAAGATGAGGACGGGAAAGGAGAACATGATAATATTTCCTTTTGCGGATTGATGGATGAATGGATGGGTGGAATATTGAAACGTCAAGTCCTCAAGAACTGGCCAAAACGTGAGAAAGCGAGCAAGTTCAGGGCTCGGCGGGATTTTGGATCATGTCGAGACGGAATCCAGCTGCTCGTCTTGCAATTGTGTTTGCTCGTGTTACCTAGCTTGCCAGGCAATGTTGGATACTGCTGCACTACATGGATCACATTAGCACTGCCACTGTCCGGGGGGGGGGGGGCTCATGGGCCCAATGATACCTTCAACGTGCAGAAGCGTGCTATCGAGTGCTGTGCTTACGCAAAACAAAAGACGACAAGATACTCGAAGCGGACTGGAGCGTGACTGCGTTGCTACCGAACATACCACGAACACGGGCGCAGCGTGGCGTGGCATGGGTGCACACCATTGCCGTTCTTACCGAAAGAAAACTGTAATAATTCATTTCGTATTGGTATACTTCATTCCATACTTCACTACGTGCTGTGCATCTCCTACGACACGACTTCTGTCTAAGAGACCTTCACTGCCTCGTGAAGTGCCCAATGAGGAACTCTGGAGACTGACTACAGAACGTTTACGCCGAGGCAGCACCCGATGTGACCTTATGCAAGACGCCCATGGCTATAGCTTGAAATACAGTCAGCCAGTCTCACCAACCCATGTATCCTTTCTCAGCCCTGCCAAGCTTTTGAAATAAGCCCTTGTTCGCGACTAGGGTCAAGGACCATGGGACCACGGGTACGCGAGTTCCGCCCGTAAGCTGCAGGACTATGCCACCATCTTCTCCCTTCCTGCAGCACGGGATATATTCCTCTCTGAGCATCTGAAAGTTTACCGTAGTGCTTTATAGATTAGAATAAATAAGATTACCAAGAGGTTAACTAAGTATAATAAGTACTTCTGAAATAGTTAACCCGCGCTGACCTTTCAGACGCTTAGACAGGTGTAGAACCTTAGACAAAAAATGCAGAAACAACGCAAAGTACTACAGCAGGCAGACCGACCATGAAAATTGCCGCCCTGTAGCAGTGGAGCCACTCCTTCATTTGAGACATATGTGGTGTGTAGCTAAAGTGAGGCCTGCGAGGCTGACCAGTCCAGGCAGCCGCCCTGGGCGCGCGAACCTCGGTCTTCATTCGTCACAAGACATGCATGCTTACCGAAACAAAATGCGAAGTCCTTCATTGGTGCAAGGCAAATGTCTCGACTCACTCATCGTTGGCTAATGAACGAAGTAAAGGGTCTATTCCCTATAGCGCTATGCCACTTTGGGTTACGCATCTCAGCCTATAGCTGTGTGCATAAGGTAGCGTTGGAGGCTGGCTGACAATGCAACCGGCAAGACTACCTGAACTTATGCGAGGACTCGTTTTATATTGGGGGATATTATTGAATCCTTGGGATCACTGCCCTGCTCATTGACCAGACAAATGTGAACCTGCAGCCACCAGCATTCCACTTCACTGTGGCGTGAAGGCGGCACGGGTTCAAGGCAACTCGATCACGGCTGAGTCGCTGCCGATGCAATGCCTTCAGCTGGGACTCACGTCAGCTGTCTATCAAGCTACCAAGCGCCTGTAGATTATTGCCAAAATAATATCTTGGCTACGATGAGCTGTGAGGCGAGGTAACTACACATATAAGGTACCACTGGAGGACGATTTCAGCGCCATGTCATCAATAAGAGGCCAAGACCTACAAACGCAGTGCCCCAAGCTTTTCGACCCTTACTTGCTGCATGACTTGCGTTGGTCACTTTGTGCACCGGATCGCAATCGACGTTCTTTATCTTCTTAGACGATTGGTTGACCGCGTTGGTGACCATGAAGCTGTCTGCTGCCACGGTCATCGGCTTGGGCTGCTTCACTGGCCAGGTGCTGGCAAACCAGTGGCCGTATGAGCGTTACTATCCAAAGACAAACAAGCAAGGCGACCCTGTAGCCGATAAGGCGCAGCCGGAGTTCGGCGATCAGGACAGCGGCCCAGGTAATCAGTTTGGCGAATGGCTTGGACGTCTCGTCAACCAGGGAACTGTCGCTGGCCTGCAGGAGATATTCACAGACGGCAGTCTTCCCAAGCACCCGTCATTCGACGATATCTGGGAGAATATCAAAACGCCAGAGGTTCCCCCCAACGCAACTCATGCGACACGCCCACCCAGCTACAAGGCTACTTGGCCCCAGAATGAAGCGGAAGCCCTTCTAGGTCATCTACCATGGCCTCTGGATCAGCGATGTACTGCGTCCAAGGATCAGTGGTAAGCTTCTGGAGAATCAGGCGAACTTGGCAGAGGGAATATTCGAGAGACTAACTTTCATGATGCGTGCAATAGGTGGTATCGCACATATGACGGCTCTTGCAACTGGCTGAAGAACGGCGAGATGAACGAGGGCATGTACGGTGTAGCCAAGTCGCGAGATTACGGCCAGCACCATTACGCAGATGGCATATCCATGCCTCGTGAGGGCCCCAACCCGCGAGCTGTGAGCAACGCCTTCTTCAAGCGCAAGGAGGTTTTGTACTATGAACACACCCCATTCCTCCTTGGACTTGTCGAGTTCATCATGCACGACATCACGTGGTCTTCCGATTCCCGAGATGAGTACATTGATGTGCCCGTGCCCGATGACGAGAAGGACTTCCCACTCAACACGACTTTCCGAGTCCATCGCACCGAAGCTGCCCCCGAGACGGGCACTTCCAGAGAGAACCCGCGCGAGAACATCAATCGTGCCACCACATGGCTCGATCTCTCGTCGTTGTACGGCAGCACGCACGAGGTCGCTATGAAGCTGCGCAGTTTCAAGGATGGTAAGCTTCTCACACAAGAGGTCAAAGTCCAAGGCACGAAGAAGGCTGCCTCATATCTACCATTCAATAGCATGGGCGTGCCAGTGCAGACCAGACCTGGAGTCGGCCCAGAGGCCCTCTTCGCAGGTGGCGACCCTCGCACCAACGAAGACTGGATCATGCTCGGTGTCCATACTCTGCTTTTGCGCGAACACAACCGCATGTGTGGCCTGCTGAAGGCTAAGAAACCTGCGTACGATGACGAGGAGATTTACCAGACGGTCCGCCTGCTCATGTCTGCCAAATTCTCACTGATCGGGAATGCCTATCAGATGGCTTACTTCAAGGACATGCCATGGCCAAACGATGACGGTTTCCCTCTGTACCGCGAGATGTCTGGTAGCAGCTGGTTAGAGATCAATCCAGCCAACAACTACCCCTGGCCCCTCGTCACGAAAGAGGGGAAGCCTACGGTTGTGAGCGCTGAGATGGCTGTCGTCTACCGCTTCCATGAGTTCATCGTCAAGACATTCCCCATCAAAGATGCGCTCAACAACACAATGTGGGACCAGAATCTTTTCGCCACGGCCTTCAATGCGACAGGATTCATCGATGCTGGGCTGGAGAACATCATGCGTGGCACTGTCGCTTCCTCCATCCCCAACTTCAAGAGTGGAGTTGAAGAAGACTTCCGATCTGCAGGCAAGTACAAAGGATCTCCTTTCGACATCGTGGTCTGGTCCATTGTCCACGAACGCGAGCAGGGATTGCCCACTTTCAATGAGTACTTTGCCGCATACAACAAGGGCAACCCAGGCCAAGAGCCGCCAGAAGTCCAGGTGCCCATCCGAAAGAGATTCGAAGACTTTTCATCAGACCCAAAGATGGTTGCAGAGCTCAAGAGACTCTATAAGAACCCTGACGAGGTTGATCTCGTGGTCGGCTGCCAGCTCGACGAGACCATGTTTCCGCACGCCACTATACCCACCTCATCCCTGATCATCAGCTTGTTCAGTCTGATCAGCATGGGTAACTCGGACCGCTTCTCGATTGGGTTCGCCGCGATGCGTTGCCTACTTGTGGATAAACCCTGGGACTGCCACCCAAGCAATGCGCTTGAGGAGCTCCTCTGGAAGCCTATCGAGAACGAGGCTTTCCCCAATGCTCGCTTCTACGATGACTATTGGATGGCCGAGCTCGATTTCCAGGCTCATGGCCAAAACTTGCTCTGGCGCCTCGTCACAGAGAACAGCGAGATCAACTGTCTTCAGAAGAACCCTCTGTTCCCATTGGATGAGAAGACCAACCCGCTTCTCTGCGCTCTCCCCGAGAGCGGCGTCGACATCAGGCTTTTGGCATCGACCGGTGTCGAAGTGACGCTATCGCTGATCAAGACTCACTACGTAGAGATCATTGCTACAATTGCCGCCGTGATCATCACTGTTTGGCTGTACAACAAGGTCAACGCCGCAGCAAGAGGATACCCCAAGGTTCTCGGTGGTCTGCCATTCTTGGGCAAGGCGCTTGATTTCCAGAAAGATGCCAAGGCGGTCGTCCTTGAAGGATTTCGGAAGTTTGGCGACCGCTCAGTCCCGAGCGTCTTTGGCATACATCTTGCATCGCTGACGCACTATGTCATCTCCAATCCCCAGGACGTTCAGAGCATGATTGACGATGCTCCTTATGAGATGAAGTTCACCCTCAGCAAGCTTTTCGAGGCTGTCAATATGCCCATTATCTTACGCAAGGTGAACTTTGCTAGCAACTTGGTAAGTTCATGGGTTCCAGGATGGAGGTTCCCTGACAAGCTTTGCAACCTACTCACGTTGTCCCAATAGCACACGAACCTGATACGCACCCATCTCGGCGATCCCGCAACAGTAAAGCAGATTGGACGCACAATGCAAGCCGCTGCAACTCGATTCCTGGAGATTAATCCTCTTGTTCCCGCAACTTCCAACTCACACGTGTACTCGGAAGGTCTAACGGCCTACATCAACCAGTACATCACGAGTGTTTGCGCAAGATGCATGGTCGGTCCTGAAGCATATGAGCACCCAGAGCTTATTAACATGTTTCTCGAGTTTAACGAGGAGGTCGACAAAGTCATTGGACTGGGCTCATTGCTGCCGTCGTGGATGAGCTTTATTGCGAATATTCCTATGAATAAAGGATACAACAAGTTCCGAAAGGTCTTTCTGCCTATTATCGCCAAGCGCCGCACTGAGCTCGAAGAGAAGAAGCAGCTCAACGGCGCTGCGGCTGGTGCTGAAACAGGGAACGATTTCATCGACTTTAAGAGCTTCATCCTCGACATCGTTGATGACGACAAGCGCGCCGCAGATCTTGTCACCATTACCGTCTGGATCGGCCTGCGCAACCTGCAGATCACCCTGCTCTCCACGCTGCTTGATATCATCGACGTGCCAGGGCTTGCAGACCAAATCAACTTGTCTCTTTCCAGACCTGCCAGAGGTGTCAAAGCTGACCTCTCCACGCTCAACACCTTCACCAGGACGGATTCATCACCTTGGGCCCTCCTTCGCGCAGCAATGTTCGAGTCGATCCGGCTCTGCGGTCCCGCGTCTGGTCCAGCTCGCATCATCTCATCCACCCACGACCTCGCCCTTGCCTCCGACCCAAGCGTTAAACTGCCTCCAGGGCAAGTTGCGACACTAAGCTCCTTCTACTCGCACCGTATGCCTGAGAACTATGGCCCCGATGCGAAGCAGTACAATCCGCAGAGGTTCCTCACCTCTGGCCCTGATATTGGTAGCAAGGAGTTCATCACCTGGGGACTCAAGGGGCCTCATACTTGTCCGGGACGTTGGTTCACACAGGAGGCTATCTGCATCATGATGAAGGAGGTGCTTGAGCGATATGAATTTGAGCCGGCGCGGACGGGGCTGGAAGATGATGAGAAGTATCAGTACCATGCGGGCGTTGTTACCCGGAAGGAAGTTCCTGTGACCGTGTATAAGAGGAGTGCGTAATTTGATTACTGAGGAGTTTGTGTGATTAGGGACTACTGTTCAGACAGCATGAGATCATGGAATTGGATTTGCCAGGCTCTCCCCATAAGTCTTACTTCCTGCCCTGTGTTGTAGTCCGAATCACCAAGCGTGTCTCTATGTTACTCACTACCTCAGATGATCGAGGTTTTCGTAAGCTAAGTATGGACGTCTAGGCCGTTTCACAACGGTCATCTATAGAACTTACTAGCTAATAAAGTTCTCACCCATAACATATATGTTTTCACCCCATAGGTAGTGTTCAACTTTTAAAGAAGCTCTTAAAGACACCAAGGTAGTCTTTTCACGATGTCCCTTTGAAATAGTATGCTAGCCATACGATTATTCCAAGGTCATATTTTCTGCTATTCTGATAGTGAGTTCCCGAGTTTTCCTAGCAAAGTGAGAAGCAACTCGTGAGGTGCTCATAATGAACCTCCGCTAGATGTATATGAGACTACGAGGGCTGAGAATAGTTTGAAAATCTAAGATGCATTCCGTGATCTAATCACTTCACTCGATTGTTGGGAGGAGATCCTGCCTTGGGGAAAGCTGAGATGAAGACGCCTCTTCCCCGAGGACCTGATGTACGTTGCTTATCTTCCCTGATAGGCTTTGCTAGAAGCAAGCAACAAAATCAAGGTTCAACGCATCCATGGTTGCTCCAAACACGATTACTGTCGCTGACCCTGCTTTTGTCCTGTCATCGTCTTTGATCACTAGCGGCTACTCTCCCGGTGTCCCGATGGCTTCCCAGCCCGTCTAGATGTAGGCGACGGCTGCCTCTCGAGAGGCATAACTCCATACTTGTTTGAGGAACGTGGTTTGATTTTGAGCGAGCGTGTCGTACTTTTTGCATGAGATACCCTCATTGTTCGCGATGTGCGACCTGGACGATTTGGAGATGGACCGGTTACCTTTTCGGTCGTTGACATTTCTAGAAATCGCTTGCAGTATGGGGGTATGGATTTGTCAGTAGAAATAAAACTTGTCGACCCGATTCCCGGTTTTTGATTTAAGCTTTATGTCACACGTTGCCTTATGGTTGCCCCGTCCGCGTTTTTGGTGACCGACATATACCTTTGAGATCATGCGCGACTAGATCTCTCTCATGTCCGTGACTACTTTGGCTTTAGAGAAGGGATGTATGTACCATTATCCCAACAAACCAAAGGCAAAGAAAAGAAGACAGGGGTTACTGAATCATCAATCTCCGGGGCTATATACATCCATCCGTCCGTAGATTCGGTGAGAGGAAAGAGAACCGCTGCAACACGGTTAAGAAATGTAGGATTACTACTCGTGATCTACGTATCTTGGGTCACGCTACGTGTGAAGACACTCTTTCCACGATCCCGCTCCTTCACTGAGTCGCTGTGGAGAAATGGTGCCGTAATGGAAGCTGAGATAAAGGCGCTTTTCCCTTGCTGTACGTTGCCTATCTTCCCAGTTAGGCTTTGCCAGAGTTAGGCAAAATCTCTAATTCTAAGGAAGCTTATGGATACACGATATAAACATCGAAATTAAAGACTTATGCCATCTGAGCGGTGTACTACCCACCTAGTGACTGGACCGTTAGTATCGTTTTACTCTAATAATTCTATCCTGAGTCCAATGATTATCCCTTTTCCCCTTTATTCATTACAACTCTTATGTTCTTCGCCGCTCCCGCCGATGTCCCCTTCGTCGTCCGTCATCCTCGTCGTCCCCCGATCCTTACCGTCCGCTATTACTATTGTCTATGTGAATGCTCACGTATAGGCAATGGTTGCCTTGCAAGGCTTCCTCTCATAAGGGTTCCTCGAGAGTCACTTTTCACTTCCTAAATAACCCCTTCTTGTAAAACACCTTGAAAGACAATTTTCTTTTCCGGATTAAACTCCTCTGACTGTATACGCAGGCTCATGACTCTGGTATTTAATCTCTCGTTCTTGCATCTTTTCGGACTTTTTCCTTCTCCTTCTTTTCTCTCCTTCAAGCCCACTGCAACGAATACCAACATCATGTCTTCTATTACTGATTGGATGATCGCATTGGCACCGCCCACTGTGGCCGCTATGGCCTTCTGCGTATTTTTGTACGTACAACAAGAGCTCAACAGGCACAGTGAGAAGCTGTTCCAGCTTGAAATGAAGTTTGCTGCCTTCCGTGAGGAGATGGCTGCTGATCTTGAGATGGAAGCTGACGAGGATCAGGGGGGGCTTTTCCCGGTCGGGCCATAAAATATTAGACCGGGGGGTGGGTGGTCGGCATCCAGCAGAAGTCTCCCGCCTTGACGTGGCTGCTGGGCTGAGTAGCCTCTCTCGAGAGGTGAAACCAAGAGGAGACAACCATGACAAGGTACGTTCCTTCCCTTCGTAGTTTGCGAGCATCTCTATGAATGTGATTAGTATAGCCTTTTAGAAATAAAGAACTCTTACTATTGCCACTATCAGTGTCGTTGTTTTCGTCGTCTGCCGTCGTTGTCTGTGATTGTCGTCTGTGGTAGTCATCGCCCGTCGCTGTTTTCTATTGTTGTCTTATTTTCCCCAGTGCCCGTGACGTACAGCTTCCGAATACTGCCAGGATCATGATGCATGATCGGACCTTTTGTCCTCGAGTTCTGCTGGCTCCAAACATGTACCGTCCACGACTCATCCTTTGGAGACTTGTATGATCCAAAATCCTTCCACGCTTGAATTCTTATACCATTAGGGCCGGCAGTAATTGCATAATCAGTTGGGCAACGTGGGCAATGGCCGGTAATTTCGTTGTAGAGTTGTGAAAGTGCCGTTCTGACGTCGTTACTGAAATTCTTGGGGCCAGAGAACCAGTCGTGAATGTCGTCGTTGGAGTAAACCACCATATGTGGACAGATTTCCTGCCTGTCGCAACTGTCCAGAGTAAGGCCGGCTTCATAGACGATGTCGCGCTGAGTATATAGGATGAATCTTTCCCGAATAATCTTGGGCGAAGCTCGGAAGTACTCGCTCTTTTGACTTCTGTCGGAGTTGAACTCGTCGCTGAAAGGTGCCATAATCTTGTTCAGGTATTTCTGGTTGACATTCTTGAGTCGTGTCAACTTCAGAGCAAGCTGAAAATGCCTCTCTTCAATTTCAAAGCCTAAAGCGCCAAAGCTCGCCCCGTTTCTGTCAAATGAACCTTTTCTGTCAAATAGACAGTGAGATCGAGCTTTTCTCCAGGGCTTTTGCCAAGGTACATCGCCTTTCTCAAGACGATGAAGCTTGTCACAAACCCCATAAATCCAGTGGTCAGGTGAGATGAAGGCAACTCCAGTCAAAAAGCTTTGTTTACGAGCTAATGAAAGGCAGTTGAAAACAACGTTCCAATCTTTTTGGACGATGGTCCGAAATGCTTTGCAAGTCTGGCCAAGAATAAATTCGTCATGTAGCTCGAGGCACTTGACGATATTCAGCAGCAATCCGTTCGGCAGCTTCAGAAGGCTCGATTTTGTGTTTGCCTTAGTTCGCTTCAACAGCGACAAGATTGATCTTGGGTTACAATGTGTTTTGTGCGAAGTCGTATTCTGGAGAGAGTTTGAATCAGCTCCACCGACCGAGGCCTCATTTGTGTGTGAAGCTTCCAAATTTGTATTCTTCATCAACAAAGCCAATTCTTGTGGACTTTTCGTTTTCAATGAGAAAAACGATTGCATCACTTTCCTCTTGGGGAGAGCAAGTTGGCCTGGTAAAGCCCGCACGACAGCCTGCAGGCTGCCACCCTCTCCGGCGGCTATCTCTTGTGCGGCGTACAGAACCCTGGTGTCGACTGTTGAGTGAATCCATCTCCGCAAGACAAGGCAACCCCTTCGAACTTCCTCACTTTCGTTAGCAGCCATGAAATCCTCTGCGAAGCAATCTGGATACTCCTGGTGAACGTCTGATCCGGTGCGTTGCGTCTGACCCGTCGTAATTGCCTCGTCCAGCGGCGAACGATGCATAGGAACATTGGAATTGGTTGCCTTTGGGTTGATATGCTCCCAAACGTTCTGTTCATGCGCCCGGAGTTGGAGCTGCAAAAACCATTTGGGCCAGTCTTGACCGTACTTCAGGCGTGCTGTAGAATTGTTTGTAGTTGTCATGATGAAACTGCTCCGTTACTCAAAAATTGCTCAAGAGGGTGTAGCTAGGCCGGAGGAATAAGGGAATGATCTGCCTGGTTCGGTGAGGCAACCGACTATTTATATGTGACAATATTGGTCATTTCACAAGGTTCTTGGGGACCTTGGTGGAAGCACGGTTGAGGGCACGTGCAAGATTTGAAGAGGTTATCGAAGGCTTAGTCCTTAAGAGTACCTTGAGGATGCAGGGCAGAATCCAACCTAGCAACCTTCTGAGGAGCATAGGTAAGATACCAATGAGGGCAAGGGGTACGCTTGGATGAGGCAAAAATTCTGAGGATTTGCCTACTTGCCTAAACAGTTTTACTAACCGGGCAGTATTGTAGCACACCTAAATCTTCTGTAAGGACGTCAGCAGTGGAGAAAACGATAGTGCTAGTGATAATGATAACGCCAATTAATAATGACAATAGATGACGACAATAGACAACGATAATAGACGACGATAGAAATGACGATAGCGACAGCGACAGCGTTAACGACGACTACAATGACGACAACGAAAGCAAGTACACAGGAAACATGATCACTTCAGTGTAGGATATCCGGATTACAAGCGTGTGTGTAGACATTACCCGGCTTGTAAAACTTCACCCAACTACTAAATGTTGTGAGGTAACATCGAAATACTAGTTGAAAACGATGAAGTTCAATCTAGAATAATTTCCACTCATCTGACGATGCGCGGTGGCACTATTCGGCCAGTGGTGGGAGCGAGTCAAACGACTTGGCTTGCAATAAATTAGAGTTTCGGTTCATCTGTGACAGCAGTCTTATTTCAACGTCTGGAAACATGCGTGAAAAACGTGGAGACAAACGCAATGAACTGTTGAAACAAAACGAACGAAAGTCACCTATTTTT